CTTTACGGCAAATGCCTTAAAATGTCGGGGTAAACACGGAAAACCCCCATCCAATGTGTCATGACAGTCCGGTACCTAGGTAGAGTTTGAAATATGACTACACAACTCAACCTTGGAAATCATCTCCAGTCCCGTAAAGAAACCAAACCAAGATAGCCGTTGTCTAGTGAAAGTATGTTGCATCTTGACTAAATGCGTACCCTGGCGAAAGGCGCACCCATCACGCAGGGATGCGGGAGTTCTAGAAACTCGAAGGCGAACCCCTCATCTTCACCGCGCGACGCGGACCGACCGCTGTTCGTGACTGGTGGCCGTTGAGCACATTGTGAGCTTGTTGCGCCCGTCGGGTCGTATTCCTCTCTCGGTGAATGTTTATCTTTTCTCTCATATTAGCATGGCCTCGCTGGCCGGGGGTTGGACCCTTGTTAAAGGGGATATCCCCCGGCATGGATGTGGGAGATAAGGCGGGTGCCGCGCTCCGTGTAGTATATGCTCTGCTGGCAGACCGGACTTCGGAATCTTGTTTCCCTCCTGGTTCTTTTTTCTGGTGGCTTTTGTTTTATGTTTCCTACATGCAATGATGATGTGCAGGTAGATTATTGCCAATCACTGCTAATACTTGGTTGGTATTGCTTCCTCTTGTGGCTTCCAGCAGATGGTGTGCTTTTAAGACATGAACGCCACAGCATTGGGTTGCGATTTGGACGTTAAATGACGAAGGCTAGCTATAGTTGAGATGATATTCAATGTGAGGCCTAAAAGTGGTTATCATTATTAATATTTGCGCCTGTACTTGTACCTTGTATAACATACGATGTAGGCAATAATGAGTATTGGGGTTGGACAGGGCAGATCTACAAACCGATATTATGATTCATATTAGAACAACCCCGAACATTCTAGTGATCTTCAACTCGAAACCTGCAATCCACCTGTGTAAAATCGATTCATTGTGACTAACAGCTAACAGTATGTATGACTGGAAATGACTCGAAGGCGAATGAGATCATCGGTTCCGCCTGAAGTCTTGGCATTCGACTGCCAGTAAAACCGTAAACAACTATAACTTCTTGTATAGCTTCATATCTTCAGACCTTAAGATATACCACTTCTTATTTGTGGCCTATTTCGACATTTGACGTCACGTGGCTGTATCTCTTCATAATTTTTCTCTCCGTTTTATTTTTGCTTAGCGCCGTGACTTCAAAGATCGCTATAATAGTTCAGACGGTCGCACATCTCGGCTTACTTACTGTGCAGATCTGGTCCTGTCGATCTCCTCAAGGTCACCCGATCTCTGCGTTGGCAGCGCGCGTCACCTCCAAGTTGCCCAGAACCCGACCATTCCATTCTGGATCACCTTTCGCAACACGGCTCGAGGCTCAGTTTCAGTATGGAGAATAGGTCATTTGACGATGCGGGTCCAACACCCCAGATCCAAAGTGAGTCAAGCACAATTCTATTATTGGCTCGTAAAAGCCGGAAGCTTTTCTCCCAATCAATTCCGTGAGATCTACTTGGGCGGATTATCTGGGTCGACCCTCCACCACAGACTTTCGTATTTTCAGCCCCCCTGTTGCACGTCCATGCACCACATGTTGCATCAGCCACAAAGCCTATCAATCCCCATGTTTATCTCCTCCGAGGGCCTCGTTGGCGTGCAGGGTGGCCCCGGTCTGCCAATATGCCTGGATCGGAGTCGCCCGCTCCCAACCTTTTTGATCACACGCTCATCATGCTTTTGTTGAACAGGTACAGAGCTGCCGTCCTCTTTGACAACTGATGAGTTGTCAGCGGTCCGGTCGCATGGTGTTGCATCCACCGATGAAACGAGTGCTGCTCGCCAGTCATCGACTCGGCGGCAGAAATGTCGCTTTTTCAAATCCAAAAAGGGTAAGTCTGCGTTCTGAGTTTCTGTCTGTAAGGGATCTTGGCCTATTTTGTTACTGCAATGATCGACGCGTCATTGAATACGGACGGGGTGCCACAAACGGGCCCCTTTGGGAATGCTTGTACACAGCATCCGCCATGTTCACCCAAAGGGTCAATGATACCGAGGCTACTACCAGCATCGTATGATCGACCTGTGCCCTAATTGCTTGCACATGTATTCTTGATGCTTGTCGTTTGCTAGGAATGTTTCGTTCGGGTCATATGCTAACATTGTTCAAGGATGCCGAATTGGAGCAGCATGTCCGTATCTACATGATGCCTCGGCAATTGAGGGCAAGCAGCCTTCATCGGGGCAGCACACACCAGCCCAATCCTCAGGAAATGAAAGCCAGAGTTCGACACAAGCCATTGTCACTGGGGCCGAGAGATTGAACATTGGTGAGAGCCAGTCGAAGCAGAGCTCTATCCCAGCTCCTGTCCAGCCCCAAAGACCAGTTTCCAAATTGGAGCAGTCAGATCCAAGAGAGTTTCAGATCAACCAATTGAGGCGGCGTTACCGTCCACAGGAAGTCAATGACGCTCAAGGTTCTACATTGACCTTTGGCTTGGTACCTTCTGATCCGGACTTCCCGTTTGAGCTTGAAAGACTCCAATGTGTCCTTCACGTGCCAAGCTCATACCCAAAGGGCCGGCCCACGCTTGCAGTGACCAATTCTGAAATGGAAGCTGCTTATCAAGCAAATGTCGTCAGAGGCTTCGATGATATTGTCGATTTTACGTATCGCACCAATGGCCGAGGAACTCTTTTGGGCTGGCTGAACAGTCTAGACAAAAAGCTCGAATCGTTGCTAACCACCCTGGAGCGTGGGCCGACGCTGAAGTTCTTTGCTAACCTTGGTGATGGATCCACAACTAAAGAACCTACCAAGGCCCCGGAGAAGACTATCAGCCAGCCGAGCTCGTCTCAAGGTAATGGTAAAACGCCGAGTGCTGCTGCTAAGCCAGCACCACAAGCACGGACTGTAGCACCTAAACACACAGCTGGAGCAAAAGCTGCAGCTGAGAAGAGACGTGCAACCGAGACAAAACAGCTCGAGGCGCGCCTTGGAAGACTGCCGATGTACCAAAAACTGGCAGATGGCAGGACATATGTTATTCCCATCCAGCCAACTAAAAAGGATCGCCTGCCGCGAACACTTCAAGCACTCAAGACTGTAAAATTGATTGTGCCACAGCTTTACCCGCTCGAGCACAGCTCGATCAAGTTGCAGGGAGTCGAAGGCCCCGAAGTGAAAGCCACACAAGTGGGATTCACTCAGTGGGTAGAACAGACTTCGCAGTTGAGTCTGGTATCTCAAATCAACTATCTGGCGAGCAATATCCATAAATTCGCTGAAACGCCCTTGCCAAAAGAGGAGGAGTCCGCCGAGGATGTACCTCTCACTGTTGAAGAGGACGAGGTTGAGGTTGTGGAGGAGCCTACAAAAGCGCCTGTCGTCTCCTCAACTCAAGATAATGAAGACAGGCCACATCTCGTTGTCATCCCAAGGCCACCCGAATGGTCGGTTCCTAATCCCACCAGTGGCGCCGAGGGGTCCTCAGGCGAGTCGAGTTACGAGGAAGGCGAATTCTCAGATGAAGAGGAAGACGAAGAAGGTGGTGCACCCGTCCCCGCACCAGTGGACAACAATGCGCCCGGAAGAGGCGTCGCACTTTCCTTCCCGTTCCTGGAGCTCTACGGAATTGAGCTGCTGGAACTCATGACCCTCAATATCACGATCAAATGTGAGAGGTGTAAGGTGGCGGTCGACGTCAAGAATGTGCCTCATATTACCGATGAGAAGGGTCAGATGCCGAAAATGGAGTCATGCAGGAAATGCGCTAATAATATGAGTGTCGGTGAGTATACATTCAATCTCATTCTCCTTTTTGGGGTGCCTTACTGATTTTCATGTGCAGCGTTCCGGAGGCAGTTGATGCATTCTCATGCCAATCGTGCTGGTTACCTTGACTTGGGCGGCTGTACGATTGGGGACATGCTTCTCAGGTTGGTTCTCTCATTCATATCAGTAAAGTGCTATTTGTTGACTCATCTTGCTATAGCGACTTCATCCCAACATGCTCCGAGTGCTCGACTGCCCATCCAGCGCCGGGTATACCTGCAGTTCGCGGCGAGAGTGCCATGGGTATATGTCGCCAGTGCCATCGCAAAATGGGTATGTTCGAATACACATTGTCTGTTGTTTGGCTACTAACATATCCGAAATTTAGTTTTCAAGATCCCCGAGGTGAAATTCCTTCTAGTGGGAAGTGCAGCAAGTAAGTCCCGATATATTGAACTCGACGCAGACGCTTTTGCTCATTGATGTACCAACTAGTGACTACTCGTGGAGCTCTCCCCCTCAAAAGAAAGGTTCGTACAATCTACAGTGCATTACCATGATAAAGCTAACAATTATTCCAGCCTCAGGAAGTCCTCGGCATTGTTGCAGGACAAGAACTTCCGCGACGCGGTCGTTGCCAACACTACGCCAAGAGTCAACGCTGGTTCAGGTACGCGACTCCCGATCGATGAGTTTAGCACTCGACAAACTGGTTATACTGACCCCCTACAGATTCAGCTGCTGCTCAAAGGTCTTCCCTTGTGACAAGTATGATTCCCAACTGGATACCTCCCCATCCCTCTTCACCTGCTTATTGGTTTGTCTAGATGCCATGATGCGGAAACCGACCACCCGAACGAACATGCGAATCGTATGATATGTGGCTACTGCTCCCGCGAGCAAATCTACAGGCCGGAGAACTGCGGTATCTGCAAAGCGGTCCTGATTGGAAAGGCAGGTAGTGGGTTCTGGGAGGGCGGAAAGGGAACGAGAAATCGGGCTCTGATGAGTCGGAAAGGTATGTTGTTCATTTTAAACGTCCTGCGAGTGCACTCGTCTAATCTGGCTGTAGATCCGAGGAAATTCAAGCGGATTGGAGGCAATCCTCCCACTTCGAATGCATCAAAACGGAAGTAAATGAATAAGGGTGAGACTGGAACTATTATATACTATTACATAATAGTTTATTTCAATCTTAACAAAAGCTTCTTCCAACCTACGTAGCGGAAACCGAAACATAACATCATCAGTGTCTCATCCTCACCTGCCTTGGTTATCCATGAAAAAAAAAGTCACAATCCCATTCTTTCTTTTACTCGCCGGTTACCCGCACAACCAGACCCAGCGTCTACAAATACCCACAAAATGCTCACACCCATGATATCGGGGGCGCTAGAATCTGCCATCTGCGTTGCTATATGGGTGGTGTTACTGATAACCAGTGTTTCTGCTGGAGGTGTGTCTTCATCCCGATACGCCTGTCCCCTTTTCATTGCTAAAAACCCCAAGCCCTTGTGATACAGTGGTTGTCAGAAAATCCGGACCATGCAGCGACAAAGAACAAGTTGACGCAGACAAAGAAGAAGTGGTTCGATGATAAGAAACGTTTGCTCGCTGAGTCAAAGGCCATATTCGATCGGGAAGCATACTTGATAGAGCGTCTTCAACGAGAAGAGGACGAAATGGCCGAAGGCCTTATTGATCCTGCTGGTCTGGAGTTGATGAGCGTATTAAATGAAAACATGGATGAACATCGGTTTAAGATTCGACATAATTGGCGTCAGCTTGCAGACTTGCTGGATCGATACTGCGACTGAGGTTGGACTTCGAGTCAGTGAAAGATTACTGGATGACAGGATGGTAGGGGTTGCTTTTTTTTGGCTCTTAGTAATGGGGTTTAAGAAAGTGGTTAGAACAGTGAGTTGCTTTGGATTGCTCGGTTTATATAAAACAGTGTAGGTATTCGTTCTTCCAAGGTCCCAAATTGCTTCATTAAAATGGATCTTTTGACCTGTTATTTCCTCTAATGTATGTATAAATAGTCAGCCGGGAGACACTCAACCCAACACTTATGCGGTCTTCATCAAGGACAACCTCTTTGATAACTTGGGGTCAGCTCTACAAGGGGATCAGACCTCACGTCTGCTCTATATTCCTTACTGTAAGGGTTCAAACATGTAACACGTCACACACGTCACGTCTTCCATTTATAGCTCCCACGTAGCCCTAGATGGTTCGTCCTTCACAGCAGTTAAGAGCTTTTAGCTCAATACACATAACATCTTTCTTCTATGCTCCTATAGTACTCCTGCAAGCTACCTATTACCACTGGGAAGCCGGAGTGCACTGACGATACCATATCTCCCAAGTATAGAGTTGAGTTACAAAACTCGGCGGACCATGAGATGTTCAAAAATTGATATTAAGGAAAAGTTCCTAGTTCGCTAAATGGAAGATGCAAACTCTCAAAATGCAAGGGCTCATCAAGAAAATGCCGCACTATACTAATCTTTTTTAGTTCTTAGACCAAGTTACCGCGGAGTTCTTGCTCTCGTTCGATAGCCTCGAATAGTGACTTGAAATTGCCGGCTCCAAAGCCTTCGAAGTTGTGTCGCTGGATAATCTCAATGAACACAGTAGGCCGATCCATCATGTGCTATTTGACAGGTTAGTACAAATTCACGAATACTGGAGTCGTGAGTTTCCACATACCTTGGTGAAAAGCTGCAGCAGATAGCCACCCTCGTCGAAATCAATCAAAATGTCCAAGCTGCGGATGGTCTCGAAGCCTTCCTTAAGTACCAAGCCAGTCTGTTTCAAGCGGGCCTGCATATCCGTGTAATATGTCTCCGGAACCTTGATAAACTCGACACCACGTGCCTTGAGATTCGTGATATCACGGATGATGTCGTCGGTGTGAAGTGCAATATGTTGTACACCGGCACCGTTGTAGAAGTCCACGTATTCCTCGATCTGGGATTGCTTCTTGCCCTTTGCTGGCTCGTTGATGGGCATCTTGACGATCTCGTTGGGCGACGCCATGACGACACTACTCAAAGCCGAGAACTCACTATAATTATGATGTTAGTCATGGTGACCGTAGATCAGCTAGAGTTTGTTAGTACACTTACGTGGAGATTTCGTTGTCGTCGACGGACCAGAAACGGTGGAAGCCAAGAGCCTTTTCGTAGCTAATCGGTGGTATCAGTAAATGAGGCTCAATCAAACAATCTGGGCCAAACTCACTATTCACAGATCTTATCCATCTCATTCCAGTCCTGGTTTCCAACACAGTGATCGATACGCTTGAGATGCACACCAGGCAAGAACTGCAAAATGGGATCCTCATTGGCAGTCTCAGCACGGTATCCTGGAATAAAGGTACCGCGGTACTCGCTGCGCTCAATAAGGGTATGGGTGGTCTGCCCATAAGTCTGGATGGTAGCAGTCTTGACATGGCCACTCTTATCTTCAAGGACTTTAGGGTTAGAGACAGCCTTGGCGCCATTCTTCACAGCAGCAAAGAAGACAGAATCGACATCGTCAACCTCAAAGGCAACATCCTTGACTGCGTCACCGTGCTTCTCGAGGTGGTCATGGATCTCCTTTAGCTCGGCTTGTTCTTCGGGGTTGAAACGGTCGATTTGGTCAAGAGACCGCAGAGGGGAGGTCAGGATAAAGGTGATATCGCCGTTACGGATGACATGGGAGCAGATGTTGCGGCTGCCAGTCTCAAGACCCTTGTAGGCAATACGTTTGAAGCCCATGCGGGTGATATAGTAGCTTGCGGCTTGCTTGGCATTGCCAACGTACCAGTGGACATGGTCGTAACCGCGGTAGCTGGCCACTGAAGATGCCTCGTCGGCAACTGAGGGAGGAGGGCTATTGGAAATAGCTGAAGGGGCCATTTTGCTGAATCCTGTATGGTTTTGTGATGATATTGATATATAGAATGTAGAAGGATGGTAGTACAAGATGAGAGGCGATGATTTCTATTTATTTGAAATTCAGTCTACGCTTCCCTTTCTTTTAATCTTTTAAATAAGATCCTCCAGTAACCGCAATTTGTCTCGGCGGATATCTGTAACAATCCACTTTTTGTCGCTGACACTTGGACGCCTTTGTCATGCCTCCCGGGCGGGCGGCTATTTCAGGACCCTGAGATACCCGGAGATACCCGGACCCGCTGAGATCATCGTTAATATCCGGAGATGTTTCAATTTCATAGATTCGCAATCCTTGAGACATTTTTCGTTTCATTCTTGAGACATTCGGTTTTATTCTTGAGACATTTGGTTTCATTCTTCGATTATCGTGACTGCAGTGAGATCATTCTGAATTGAATCTGACAATATCCCCCAACTCCTCATCTCAACAACCACCAAATCCAAGATGACATCTATCACAACTGCTCGCCCATCATTGACATCTAATGATTCGGCTGTACTACAAGCTCTATTTGATGCCGAATCTTCCCCATCGTCAGGAGTCACCGTTGATCCATCGCTCGCTTCATGGCCATCATCTCTGAATATCTCCGAGACAGACTTGGCATCGCTCAAGCAGCGCGAAACAGACATCATCCGCAAGCTGCAATCAAACAAATCACCAAATATAGAGACAGTCCAGTCAGCACTGAACGACTTCGACACTCTCCTCACCCAACATCCAACATATCCCTCCGCATACACAAACCGAGCACAAACACTCCGCCTGTTGGTCGATCTGATCTACAGCACAGAAGCGGGTAATGATCAAAGCACCGATACCGAGGTAGCCGATGCTGCCCTTTTTGCGCCTAAAACCTCCCAGCTCTGCTCCCGCATCTTCTCTGATTTAGGCCAAGCAATAAACTTTGCCACACCCGCCTCACCCGCTGATGCGGTATCCACAACCCAGGCACGGTTATTGGCTGACGCACACACGCATCGGGGATACCTGCTTCTCAAAGCGGCTCGTGTGAAGAAGGCTGGCTCTGGTGATGACGAGGCGGGGCCAGAGCGTCTGCGCGGACTTTCGGCTGATCAGCTTGAAGAAATGGCTAGTCGGGATTTCTTCTTTGGGGGTCGTTATGGGAATAAGGTTGCACAGCAGCTTTCGGTGCAGACGAATCCTTATGCTAAGATGTGTGGGGCTATTGTTAAGGAGGCGATGAGGAAGGAGCTTGAAGGGTGAAGATCAAATATCATTGAGAAGTAATTTAATTCATAAAATTGAAATTGGAATAACGAAGCAATAATGAACAATAATTTTGATAGATTTGATTGAATTCTGGTATCTTGTTATGCTATAGAAATAAGAGAAAATGTGCAAATTTTCTCATCGCAGTGCCCAGCCAAACCAAGCTTAGGCCTTTTTGTTAGGGTTCACAAAGTGCCGCTTCAGAGGCTTCCAGCTGTGCTCGTTATATTCAGGCTGCACCTTCTGGCAAGTCTTAAGACCCCATTCCGAGACGCCGACCATATGAGCACTAAAGCATTGTCAACAATTATAACAAGTTTCGGGAATTATAGGGGAAATCGAACTAACCTTTCAAACATGAAAGCCATACTTCCATCACCAACCTTTTGAGGCTTCAGTTCAGCATTGCTAGCTCCCTCGAAAGCACCCGAGTCGGGACCATGTGCACTCATGACGTTGTGCAAACTAGCACCAGCAGGCCTGAAACCTCCACCAACCTTCGCATCGTAGTCCCCAGAAATCAATCCCATGAACTCCGACATGGTGTTACGGTGGTACCACGGTGGACGGAAAGTGCCCTCTGCGACGAGCCAGCGAGGAGGGAAGATAACAAAGTCAGCAACGGCGGTACCAACGTGGTCCGATGGAGCCGTCAGCACAGTGAATATAGAAGGGTCGGGGTGGTCGAATGAAATCGAACCGATAACATTGAATCGGCCGAGATCGTATTTGAAAGGGTAATAGTTGCCGTGCCAGGCGACAACATCGAAGGGGGTGTGGTTCTGTCTCGCGGCGAAGAGAGTGTTGTTGAATTTGCTGTAAAGCTTGTACTCGCTTTCCTCTTCGTCGTCAAAAGCGGCAACGGGGGCTTGGAAATCGCGTGCATTGGCCAGACAGTTGGATCCAATGGGGCCCAGCTCCGGGAGCTGGTAATGGCCCTGGTATAATTCACAGATGTATCCCCGCACAGGGCCGTCTGGGAGCGTCACTCGGTATCTGATGGAAGTGATTAGTTATTGATTACATATAGGATATGCAAGACACCCACCTGACACCGCGAGGGATAACACAGATCTCATTAGGTCGCAGAATAATGCGACCAAGCTCCGTCTGGATGTCCAGCACACCGTGCTGAGGCACAATTAGGAAGTCTCCGTCCGCGGAGTAGAAAGCTTCCTTGCCCATGTCCTTGCCCGCGGCATACATCAAAATGCCCAATCCTTGCTTTTGAGTCGGGTCTCCGGACCCTGCAATCAGGTGCAGTCCATGCACCCAGTCGACCTTCTCATCTAGATCGAAGGGATTCCATCGCAGCTGGTTAGGGATGTGGTGAAGCTTATGGGTCTCGGTTGTCATGCTCGTATGATACGAGTCGGCATCCTCCGCGGTGAAGTTCTCATGAGCTGCTGCGGGTAGAATTCGGTAAACCCATGTCTGCTTATTCTCATGGCGAGGTGCAGTGAATGCCGTTCCTGAGAGCTTCTCCGTGTAGAGCCCACATGGAGCTTTCTGCGGGGAATTTTGACCGATTGGCAGAGCTCCTTCGACGGCTTCGGTCCTGTTTACTCATGAATGGGTCTTCATCTATATTGGAAACTATGTGTATACTTACTCGTGGTACGAGTCGAAGCCTGTCTGGTACTTATAGGGATCGGGGTGGTTGAAATTAGTGACAGGCATATTGGTGATGTGTGATGTGGTTTCGATAATGCGGACCCTATCTTACATATAATCAAATACCCCCCGGGGCCAGATCAACCGAGGATCTCAGCTTTCAAAAGAAGCAAACTATGTGAGGTCACACCATTCCGCGGGAATTACCAGATTCCCGCGATTATCCTGCATTCCGCATCGGCTGAATGCGGGGGGTGGCGGACCAATTCCGCCCTACTTCGAGGGGCTAAACATCATAGTTTGGTAGTTAAGGCCCGTGAGCTCGCTTTCTCTTTCTCTAAACTTTTCAAACATTTACTCATCATGGCTTCGTGGCTTCAGATCCCCAAGAACTCGCCGTTCTCGCTCGCCAACATCCCGTTCGGCATCATCTCAACACAATCCGCATCAAAGGCCGCTGCGATTGCAATCGGTGATCATGCATTGAACTTGAGCGCATTTGCTTCATCTGGAGGCTTCTCACAGCTGCCAGCTATCGAGCAACACCTAGCCGTTTTCAGCCAGCCGACCCTGAATGACTTCGCTGCACTTGGTCGCCCTGTGCACCGACAAGTGCGCGAGTATCTACAAAATGTCTTCCGCGCCGACACAAAGTTCCCACAGGTCCTGAAGGACAATGCATCCCTCCAAAAATCAGCCTTGCTGCCCTTGTCCCAGGTCACCAATCACCTTCCCATGCAAATTGGCGACTACACTGATTTCTACGCTGGTCTGAACCACGCCTACAACATTGGTGTCCTCTTCCGTGGCCCAGACAATGCTCTCCAGCCTAACTATAAGCACCTGCCCGTTGCCTACCACGGCCGTGCTTCATCAGTTGTGACTTCAGGCACACCCCTCCACCGTCCCCAGGGTCAGATCCTGGTGAACCCCACCGCGGACCCCAAGGTACCTACCTTCTCTCCTTGCAAGAAGCTCGATATCGAGCTGGAGCTTGCTTGCTTCATCAGCAAGCCCAATGATCTCGGCAGGCCTGTCCCAATTGACGAGGCCGAGGACCACATTTTCGGTTTGGTTCTCATGAACGACTGGTCCGCCCGTGACATTCAGGCCTGGGAATACGTCCCTCTGGGCCCCTTCAACGCGAAGAACTTCGGTACCACCATCACCCCCTGGGTGGTTCTGATTGATGCGCTCGAGCCTTTCCGCGCTGCTGGTTTGGAACCTGCAAACCGCGAGTCTCTGCTCCCCTACCTGCGCGAGAAGCGCGCCGAGAGTGCCTACGAGATCCCCCTCGATGTCGAGGTCACAAACCCCGGTGGTCAGCCCACTATTATCTCTAAGAGCAACGCTCGCAACCTGCTGTACTCTTTCCCTCAGATGGTTGCTCATCACACCATCACAGGCTGCAACTTGCGCACCGGTGACTTGCTGGGATCGGGTACTATCTCTGGTAAAGAGGATAAGACTCAGGGTAGTTTCTTGGAACAAACCAACGGCAAGGTTCCTCTTAAGCTGGCGGATGGCTCTGAGCGTATGTTCGTTGAGGATGGTGACACTATTACTCTGCGCGGCATGGCTGGCACAGAAGGCAACTATGTCGGCTTCGGCGACTGTGTCGGCACTATTCTGCCCGCCGTTTCGCTGCAGTAAATAACTTAAAATGACCTGAAATCAAATTAAATGATCAATTTATGATGTTGCTTTTTCGGTTTTGTCTGATTCTACACTATAGGGCTTGGAATAAAATGTTCTCGGCCAGTTCTATCTAGCCAATACAACCAGGATAAAAGATTGCCTGCTATATTTTTTTTGGCAAGGTCTCATAAACGCCAGCCAGTATTACTAGTATGACGACGGAATATTTCAGGGATATTGACTGAGACTAGTCAACCCACTACTTACAGCGTTTTCAGCTACTCCTTAATACGAAACTCCTCGGGGGTATCACCCTGTGACCTCCAATGCCCCTTCTTAACAGCCTCCTCCATCTCCAAGTTCTTGACAATCTCATTCGTAACCGGGAACTGACCCAAGTCAACACCAAACCGCTGGGCTCCCCAGGCAGCAGGAATCAAGCACAAATCTGCAATGGTAATGGAATCTCCAACGCTAAACTTCCCGGCCGATTTCTTAACAACAGCCTCATAAGCCCTAAACCCATCCTCCATCAAATCCTTTGACCATTCAGCACGATCAGCACCCAGTACCCCAACCCGCTTCAGGATTCTGAGGTTTGTAACAGGCTGTATATCGCATGAGATAATGTCCGCCAGGGTGCGCACTAGAGCGCGGCTCTCTGGGTCCGAGACCGGGGGGAGCAGCGCGGGTCCTTGCTCTGGGAATGCTTCTGCGAGGTACTCAAGTGCGGCGAGAGACTGGGTGATTGTCACGGGTGCTTTGGATTCGCGCTGGATTACTAGAGCTGGCACTGTTCCTGAGGGGTTGATGGCCACATGGGCAGGGGAGGATTGCTCGCCCTTTAGGAGGTTCACATAGACGGATTTGAAAGGAATTTGTTTTAGATTCAGGGCTATCCGCAGTCTGGCGGAGCAGGAGGAACGGAAATAGGTGTAGAGAGTCACTGTGCCGGTCATTGTGGCTGAAGGGTTGTGTTGATATTCGATCTATGGGATATTGGGGTAGGAAGGTACGAAAAAGAGCCTAGACGGAAGAGGGTTGCTTATAAACCAAGCTACACAACGTACTACATTAACCTTGGGAAGTCACTTTCCCCGCGGATTTGGTGTTACCTTGCCCAAGTGGACTTCTTTGTTCATGTAACTAGACGTATTGGGTGCGGAATAAAATCCGTCATCTTGAAGCCGAGTCCAAGCGCTGTAGCTTGTACATTTCGGCTATGCCTCTCGGGGGATTTTATATTATTCTAATTTATTTGCCTAGAACATGGCCGATTCTACTTATAGCGTACATCGCACCCCCTAAATCGCATTAGAGCCTCGGTGGCTTGCAGCCTTGATATTCTGTGTGACATATATCTGCGATTTCTTCTTCTATTGGCTCCTCACTGTCCTAGGGGACAACATCCCCAATCAAATTCAGGATAAACTAGGATATGATTTCATTTAAAATAAATTCAACATACATTGGCACTATTTTGATTAGAAAAATTTTCACCTCTAGCTAAAGCTCCGATTCGAATACGGACACCTGAGAAGCTTGTGCGGGGCGGCCGACGGGTATCGCCGGCTAATAATCCTGGGACCGCATCTCTCTGTCTCCCTGCAATGATCCATCGCATCACCAAATATCCACAGAATCCACTTCAGCACCGAGATCCTGGCTAATTCGCCCAGAAACGGTTGAAGATGGATGGTGTCAGGTCATCCCGTCCGGAAAAGCCGTATCAACGCACCTACAAGGCGTGCATCCCTTGCCGGCAGCGGAAGGCCAAATGCGACCTAGGAACCGGCCCAGATGGCCTTCCGATCGGCCCACCATGTGCGCGCTGCCGAAGAGAACTAAGGGAGTGTGTGTTCCCCGAGAAACGGGCATGGGAAAGGTCCCGCAAACGAGGTACGCTAGAATCGAGTGCTTACTATATCTAAATTGGATGGTTTCTGAATGGTCAATCTCTAGCGCGATCACCAGGGAGCTATGAAACAGATGTATCACCCCGACACACCACACAACTTAAGACGACGTCGCCTGATGGCTCTGTTCTCGCACAAGGACTGAGCCAAACCCGGCATCATCCAAGTGAAGTAGCCAACTCAACACCCGAGAACAACTTTCATAAGGAGCCCAACTTTCAGTCGGGATGGCCATATCATCCGAATCAAGCGGGGTCTCATCGTGGCTCTCTCGATCACCCTTCCGTGGGGCCTTCACAAGTTGATCAGTCCTCTTCTCATACATATGAAAATAACAGACACCGATCGAATTCCACCCTCGCGAGCTCTATGATGCGCACTGTTGTTGCAAGTGGCAATGATGCGCTCAATATTCTCTTTGAGGCTGCAACGGCTCAAGAAGATAATAGTCCTGATAATAGTCCTGAATCACTAGCTGGGCCTCCATCGGCAGGTCCGAGTACTCTAGGTCGGACACCCGGAACCTACGATTCCGCGTTTGAGCCAGTGGCACGAGTAATACACCCTGTTAAGCTATCTGATGCCACCCAAGACACTCTCAATGTCTGGGAGGCTTGTCGGTTTGTCAAGATGGGGTGGTTCACTGCTAGGGAGGCTGTTACTTTTATTGATCAGTGTGTTCCCTTGCATTTTCCATGTCTGCCAAAGAAAAGCTAACCGGAAGTAGGTTCTATAAGAATATGTCCTGTTTATCTCCGATTCTAACTGATTTCTACGCCAACCATCGATATCATTACTGGCTGATTACTCGGGAGCCAGTTCTATGCTCCACCATTCTCATGATCTCTTCTCGCTATCACGTCCTTCCCGGAGCAGGGGGAGAGTCAAGGAATTTCTTTATCCACCACCGACTATGGTCACATTGCCAGAAACTTACGATGCGGCTAATATTTGGGCAAGAAAAATCTACAAAATCCAAGGTGCGGAGTCTTGGTACTGTGGAGGCACTTCTGTTGATGTCAGAATGGCATCCTCGCGCCCTGCATTTTCCGCCCGAGACGGATGGCTGGGACGATGATTTGATCCCAGCAGCCCCTAGGAACCATGAGAATAATGATTCAAGCTCAGCACCTGGCAGTCGCGGGGTAGAAGATATAATTGAACCAGCACGCCGATCTGACCAAATGTCCTGGATGTTGCTTGGGTGTGCGCTCTCTCTTGCACACGAGCTGGGCATATTCGAGACAGAAGGAAGCAGCTCTCCAGCCGACGAACCGGAATGGAGAGATCAGAAGGCAATTCGTTGGCAGCGCGTACAACGTCTGCTATACGTCTATATCAATCAACTGGCTTGGCGGATTGGATGCATGTCACCGATTCCTCAATCAATCAACCATGCTATTCTGGGCGGAAGGAAGCCGCAAGGACTGGGTCCACCGGGCAGCACGTGGTTGACGTTCATGGATTCGTGGATTGAGCTTACCAAGCTGGCCAAGTCTGTCACTGATATGTTCTTCCCCTCTGCGGCGTTTGCACGCCAGCAACTGCACAGTGGCCGATATGTTGGCCTTCTTGAGCATTTTCGACCTCTTCTCAACCAATGGAAAGACAAGTACCTACAGCCCCAGGTACTTGATAAAGCATTCTACAACGATCTATTCATCGAATACCACTTCGTCCGCGTCTACACCCATTCAGTGGGAATGCAAGCAGTAGTGGAGCGTGCTGTCGCAGAGAGCGACCCCAGCAACTTCGACGGAGTGCGACCCATGACCATCGACCCAACAGACTACGAATACATCCAAGAGGTAATTGATGGATGTGGCCAGATCTTGCAGAAAGTCACCCATCTAGCCGAAGCAGGGGCGCTGCGGTTCTCGCCAGTTCGAATCGTTCTTCGCATAACCAGTGCCTCGATCTTCTTGATGAAAGCGCTCAGCTTGGGCACACGGCAAGCCAAGCTCCAGGAATCAATTGAAATACTAGAGAAGAGCATCAAAGCACTCAAGTCAAATGCTCTGGATGATGTGCATCTGAGCACGCGCTATGCCGCGCTGCTAGACACGCATGTCTCGCGCTTGCGGCGTAACCTGCTTGCGTCGTCGAAAATCACGAAGAGTAGTGCAGAGACTACGCAAAGATCATCCATGGGGCCCCCTCCTTGGACAGATACTGGTGACCGGTCAAATCCCATGAGAACCCCTGTAGTGCAGGACCAAACACCGGAGCTGGGATTCATCCCGTCTTTGAACGATATTGGTGCAGATAACTGGCTTTCGCTACCATTTGATCCGTCGATGGCGCCGTTTGATATGAGCCACGGATCTCAATTTCCGATGTATGAAGGTGGAACATTGGACTTTATTTGGAATCTGCCATCTTGATGGAGTCAACTTTACCACCGAGTATTTGGTTATATAGCTTTGTACATAGTCCTGTATGACGCAATTACGCAATGTTGATAAAAGATGATACCCCAATTCGGACAATGTTACTCCGCCTTATATTTCCCCGCACCAAACACAACCAACGTCAGAATTCCAACCAGCGCAATTACCCAGCAATATGACGAAACCAGCCTCATTCAAACCTACCTTAATCATTCACGGCGGCGCCGGCAACATTCAACGCTCCAAACTACCCCCAGACCTCTACGCCGCCCATAACGCCTCCCTCCAATCCTATCTCCGCTCAACACACACCCTCCTCAAAAATGGCAGCACAGCACTGGACGCAGCCGTCCACGCCGTCTCCCTCCTTGAAGATGACCCTCTCTTCAACTGCGGCCGCGGCAGCGTCTTCACAACAGCCGGCACAATCGAAATGGAAGCCTCAGTAATGGTGACATCCGTGCACCAGTACGACGCAACACAACCAGGCGCAATTAAACGCGGCGCAGGCGTGATGGGCGTCCGTAATGTGCGTCATCCCATTCGTCTCGCGCGCGAGTCGCTCCTCAGATCGGGTGTCGCCGCTGATGGAACTCCCGCAGATGACGGAGGGAGTATGCATTCTCAGCTGGTTAGTCCGTATGTTGAGACACTTGCTCGGGATTGGGGGCTGGAGTTCTGTCCCGATGAGTGGTTCTTCACACAGAAGAGGTGGGATGAGCATATGAGGGGTTTGAAGGGGGAAGAGGAGCCTGTGTTCTTGAGTCAGGGGACTGTCGGTTGTGTGTGTCTTGATCAGTGGGGGAATCTGGCTGTTGCCACTAGTACCGGTGGTTTAACGAATAAGCTGCCCGGGAGAATTGGCGATACGCCTACCTTGGGGGCTGGGTTCTGGGCTGAGGCTTGGGATGAGATCGTGTCAGGTGGTGGCGAGGCAGCGCCAGAAGATTCCGGGGTCGGTGGCTTGCTACGCGACGCGAGGAATTGGCTGGGGGATTGCATGCCGTCGTTCTTGCGAGATCAGGCCTCACCTATTTCCTCGTCCCTTTCGGGTGATAGTTCCTCCCGGGAGCTGGACTTGGGGTCCGAGAAGGCTTGTCATTCTTATCAATCATCTGCTCCATACTCTCATCGGCGGGCTGTTGCGGTCTCTGGGACTGGGAATGGAGACTCGTTTCTTCGGGTTGCGGCTGCGCGCACGACTGCTGCAATGCTACGGTTTTCTTCGCCCGGCAAATTCCCTTCTAGCCTTGCAGATGCAGTGACGGCTGTTTCTGGACCTGGTGGTGAACTTCAACGTTCCGCCGGCTCCAGGTGGGCTAAGACCGGTGAGGGTGAAGGGGGTATCATCGGTATAGAGGCAGAGCTTACTGTAAATGGGGCATCGGATGTCAAACTACATCGGGGTAAGGTTGTATTCGACTTTAATTGTGGTGGTATGTGGCGTGCTTGGGTAGAGGAGGACGCTTCTGGTAACGAAGTTGAGAGGATTATGGTCTTTCGAAAGCAATATCAATAGAATAAAGTCCCTCCAGTTGAGCTCACTGGTACTTTACATATCAAGATTATATCTTCTGCAATTGGTCTCAACTGTCTCCACAAGTGTATTTGGAAGTATAAAAAATGCTATACAATACCGAAAGATGTTTAGTCAGGACCACACCTAGTTCCTACACCGGGAAGTATGCCTGTGTGAAAGTATCGGCAGACATTTTTGGCTGTACATGTCGAATCGGACAAATAAGTACAATGCTATGTTATATAGTGTCAGGAAAGTAGAGGCGAAGAAACGTAGACCAGCTTCTAGTTGCGGTTCTATTTTTTTACTAGCTGCTTTGTTGTGCATATAATTTATGTGCTGATTGAGAGAGACCAAATGTTGTCTACCCTGCCAAGGTTCATATGACCCATAACTATGTATATTATCTTCGGAGGGAATGGCCATTGGAAATTTCGTCTTATATTTGTTGGAGAATGTCACCCGACTAAAAGGTCTACGCGCAGGAGTCGGGGATCTTTCGAGCAATTTCAACATTATTAGCTGTAAATGATTCGTGACATCAGCAAATGGTGTCTCTCGCGGGACAACAAAATTTGTCGGTGTAGTGAAACATTATAGCTGTGGCTGCAGCATGGACAGAAAGAAGTCGGCGACGCGGTGGAAAGATTCCTTAGGTGCCCAGGGCGGCATAGCATTCGACCTCGGGTCCAGATCCGGGAAGTATTTGACCAATGAGAAACACATCATGTCAAGGTCACTTGGTCCCTCCCCCCTTCGCATGCACGGGAATGAAAACACATAGACGAAGACCCCATGAACATCTGCATTAGCGAGGAGATCGAGCTGTGTGCCGACATAATCGGCCTGCTCCCGCTCGCTCCGGGTCGGGACGACGCCGCCTTCGAAAACGCCGCTGCCGTCTGGATTTGTGCTCTTGAGAAGCATAAAGCCGCCGCCACCGCGCTCGGCCGCTCCCTCATAGGCGCAGCAACCCACCTCCATAACGACAAGAGGCTTGCCGAACCTGTGACGCTCGAGGCCCGCGACATATTCCTCCTTGGTTTCCCCTTGGCGATAGTAGTCGATACCAACGATGTCGAAGATGTCCCAGTCTACGACTTCCCAGGTGCCGGCCGAATATGTCAGCGGCCCACCAAACCTGGCGCGAACCACCTTAGCCAAAGACCGCAGGACTTTGTTTAATTCCACGGACTTCTCACGTAAGACTTGGGGAACATCTCTCGGCATATGACCGCCAGGGAACTGAGCGACAAGCCACATTAGACGCTCATAGAAAGATTCGCCAGGAAAGACCCCTTTGCTGAAGATCGTATACTCACAGCCGGCAACAAAAACCAAATCGACACCTTCGTTCCGCAGTCGCTCGGCCGTCTCCGCAGCGTCTTCAAGGTAAGCGCACGTCTCGTCAACACCCACGTTCATCTTCCACGGGTTGAAAAAGACCGTGAGCCCCATCGAGCGAGCAGCCCGTGCAGCAGATTCTAGTCGATGGATCTCCTCGCCCTCGATCCGCACAGCATTGGCGTGCATGTCGTTGGCGATGATACGCATGTCGAACTCTACCAGGATGGGATCGAATGGTTCGACCGAAAATCCATCGTCCCCAAACTTCAATCCGACATCATAGACAACGCCGCGATATTTCATGGCTTCTTTCTTCCAACTTTTGATGGAACTGGCTCCGTTAGGGTTGCAATACATGGAAATTCAAGAAGGAGGAAGGGGATTTGCTCACGTAAAGGGAAGAATTTAGGGAGAAAGGAGAGAGGAAGGACTCCGCCAACGACCTGCTAGAATAACTTGATATGCTGGAAGACTGCTACTCTAAAGACTTTCCATTGCCAATGCCGGGAATCTGCGATTTATATCTCAATTATCATTGAGGACCCCACAATGTATAAATCCCTCATCCGGGAATCGTGTACTCTGTGAGGCGAAACTAATAGCAGGCAAGTGTAGGGTTTCATGAGGGTATGGAGCGATGTTGATAGCAAGGCGGACGCCAGGACTCCACAGTCCGGCAGGTCCACGGGTGACTGTAGGCTGTCTATGCGGGCTTCGGAGTCTTGGCGTTCCGTGCATCCGTAAAGGCTCGGTCATTTCTTCTTGCACTTTCGAGTACTCGGTTCTCCTGGACTCCCCGTCTCCTTCAACTCAGGATCTCAGTATTCGGCTTCCAGCCCGTCTTCCGGCATCACTTTGGCGGCCCTTACGGACATTTTTGTAATAATGTCATGCGGGAGGAGCCCCACCGACCGGGCGCCAAGGGAAGATGATATCCACGCTCATGTGCTAGAAGAGGACTTAATTTCACAATGGAATGGTCGTGAGGAGAATGAGATTACGGCAACCGAGAAGGTAGCTGTATGGGCTCCCCATTGCTTCGGTTATATTTAACCTTGCATGATGATTGAATGTTGACAATAGCTACAGTGTGATCGTTGCCGTAAGCGAAAGGTGTGTTTCTACAATTAGCGAGATTGCACCCAGATGTGTAGGCCCAGCAGCGCAAGGTTGCTGCTGACTTTTCGTTTTTCTTGTCCTACAGACCAAATGTGATCGCGTCAACCCGTGTTCGCAATGCACCAAGACGGAATCGCAATGCACCTACCTGCTAGGCCAGAAAGCCAAAATAAAGCGGCAACGGGTCCTCATCTCGAGTGTATAGTAAGTTCGTATCGCGCATCCAACTCTGTGGCTTTATACTCAAGTCTATTCATAAAGTCACTAAATCACCAATTTGGACATCGGCAGCGAGAGTAGAATGGAGCACATTTCGAACAAAATTGACGACCTCAGCGAGTTGATGAGGCAGCTCAGTTATGAGCGGTCCAGTAACAGTGGCATTGCAACTTCAGCTGGATTGCAACCGCCATCACATTCCTCGCTTCAGTCTAATGAGTCGCGAGTCGCTAGCAGCGATAGCAAAACAGGCGCCAGAGGACGCCACCAGTGTTTAGATGAAGCTGGAGGCATCGAATCCACGTTGTTTGCCCATGTCATCTTCGCAACCAAGTTTCTTCAAAATGCCGTGGCGAATGACCCGTACTCCAACGTTGCTGCCGAAATGACCTCGGTGCTGGATGGCCTGCGGAGCACGGTCAACGTTCAGAAGCAGCATAATGAGACACTGGAAGGTTCACCTCCATTCTCGAAGACGCTTCCTCCAGGTCTTAGTTCCAGGGATCTGCCTATACCTTCCATGGACCGAATCCTGGCATGCTTAAGAATCGCACACGGTTCGTACGCTTTATTTGTCGATTAAATTGCGACTTTTCACTAACTCTCCAGAAGAGCGGTCGCCCAATCAGGTCTATTGGCCGTTCGAGTTTGGATCTCTGGGCGATTTCACCCAATACGTCATCAAGGCCTGCTCACCCGGACCAGTAACGGATACGGAGCTGATAATTGTCCACTATGGTCTTGATTGGCTCTTCACTGAGTGCTCGAGTGCCCCTGGAGATGATATTGTCAAGCAGGAGTACGAGGCGCAAGCACTCATCTGCAGCGACAGCCTCGAAACGATCCTATCCAACCTCTCCTTCCACGTCACTACGAATATAGTCTCTGTTTGTGCTATGTATATGGCTGTATGTTCATCCCTTAAATATTCACCATTTTGGTTTTGTGTCTAAATTCCCAATGACAAATCAAACAGACTATTTACTGCCTCAAACATGGCAAACCCTTTGCGGCGTGGACGTTTATTTCTAAGGCTTCACTCATGGCTCAGGCCCTTGGGTTTCATAGCAAGGTTGTTATGACAGCCGAACCAGCAGAAGAAGCACAGCGGAAAATACGATTGTTCTGGGCGCTCTATGCCCTGGAGAAAGCAGTGTCGTTACGTCTCGGTAGGTCCTCCACTATTCGAGACCATGACATCACGGTTCCACGGCTGCTCCTCGACCGCAAGATGACTTCCCTACTACATAACAGGTTGCCCGACTGGACCGATGTGGCCAGCCTCTACGGACGAGTATATGACAATATATATAGCCCGAATGCGCTAGCGCAGCCAGCCTCCATTCGGGAGTCTCGTACCAGAGCTGTGGCTGCTGAGCTCGAGAGAATAATGGCTGCGAGAGTGGAGTTCTATGTAAGCTGTTCCCTTCCGCCTTTTCCATGCATGTCCGTGGATAGGAAGCCAAAACCAGATCGCTACTTTCACGCTCGGGCTAATGCTGTGCCCAGAAACGGCCAAATCAGTGGACTAGCCATGTGGCACATCCTGGGCCGAGTAGATTTATCATACATGCTAACAGAGCTATTGAGTACTCTATCTCGGCCTCCATCTATAGAGGGATTCCGTCGGGGGAATCTTCAAGCTTGGCGCCTTGTCCAGAATGTCTCTCAGCTGCGAGAGCCAGCCTTAAAGAGACAGAAGTGTGCATCAGCATGCTCGCAGACGCGGCGTTGTGGTCTCCCAGCCTCGACCTATGGGTCAACGAAGTCATTTTGTTAGCGCCGTTCATGCCATTTTTAATCCTGTTCTGCAACATCATTGAGACATCCAACTCGTCTGACTTGGATCACCTACAACAATTGGTTGACAGCCTGCAGTCGATGTCACTATCTCCTCGTTATTCCGCCTGCAGTAAGCAACTACGAATTTTGAAGGCCCTGTATGACGTTGCCGCGAAGTACGTCGAGGCCAAAGCAAAAGTACAGTCAGGGGACATGATTAACGGTCACCTTCCCGACCTGGACATGGAAACGTACCTGAATGGCCACACTGGTTGGTTTGGTGCTGATTCGCACTCCCCTTTGTTATTCGAGGCACCGGATACTTGGTCACTAGACCAGGCCCAAAAGCCTGCGGCAGCTTCTTCTGACCAAGGTCAGCAAGGCATGAACCAAACATCAAGCTTTCAGCCAAGAGTGACCCTTTCGGCGACGCAACCCCAGATACATGATGACTTCATCATGGAGCTGGATACTCCAGGGATCCAGCTGGGAAGTTGGTTCCACCAAACTCATCAGATGATGAGGCTTCTGGATGATTCTTGAAGATTGTCTGTGCTTATTATTCCTGGAAGCGAAGATTTGCCAGGCATTATCCAGTGTATATGTAGGGGCCGAGGAGTTTACAGCATTTCCAACACTCATAGCCGAATTATATATATCCATGTAAATCAAATGTCAAGCCCAGTAGACACTACAACACTCTGATAGCTCGCTCGCCTTGAACGATGTGAACACGAAACCACCCAAACGACCAGCAATATATACAGCAAAGACCACACAAAACCAACAGGCACATCTGATTCGGATCTACCACCCCTCCAATGGCGTAAGCAAGGCAAGTACCCCATCTTTAGGTGAAACAGTAGCCCCCTCCCGAATCTCTAACTTAGCATCAGGAAACTTGAACTCCATGTGAAACCGACCAACAGTAGCAGCAATCAAGCAAGCAAGCTCCGACTTTGCAAAGCCCTGACCAATGCAACTGCGTGGGCCATGCAAGAAAGTCAAAAAGGCATAATTACTAACCGCACCGCCAGTGTTAGCCTTACCGGGACCCATAAAGCGGTCTGGGTTGAACTCGTTCGCGTCTGGTCCCCACAGCTCTTCCATATGGTTGATCATTTGCGGAGAGATTGTAAATAGCGTATCCTTGGGAATATGCGCGTTGGCGATAGTTGTGTCACGAGCCGCCTTGCGTACGGTCGTCGGCACAGAGGGGTGGAAGCGGAGCACCTCGTTGCACACTGCGTTTAGGTAGGGCAGATTATCAATTGCGGCTGCAGAAATTGGAGTCGGATCGTCGAGCGAGGGCAGATTGGCGCGAATTTCATCCCGCAGACGAGTTTGGACGTTGGGGTTCTTGCAGAGTGCGTAAACGGCCCACTGTAGGGCTGAGGCGGTTGTCTCATGGCCTGCGCCTAGGAAGGTCATGGATTGGTCGACGAGGTTTTCTTCGTCGAAAGTGCCGCTGCTTAGTGCAACGGAGATGATGTCAATGCCGGTTTCGGCTTTGGGGTCTTCCATCTTTGCCTTCTTCTGTCGGATCATCTGCCGTGCGACGTTGCGGATGACCTCGCCACTGTCCTTGATATCTTGGTTGCGTTTTGTTGGTAATGAGTGGATCCATGTTGGGTTACCGAATAGCATACTTATCACGAAAAGGATTTTCATGATGAGGGGTGGCGTGGACATGATTTTGCGGTAGGATTGGTTGAGGGTGTTCTCAGGGTCACGGAGGGAGTCGAAATCATGGTCCATACCAGCGACGCCGATGATGTCCAAGGTTGCTCGACTCGCCCAGTTACTGATTTGGACGGTGTTGTCGTTATTCCCATTGGTCTTTCTGCTTTGCAAGTCTTCCTCAATCAGCTTGACCATTTCTACACTCTTGTCCCAAAAGACGGGGTAGAGGTTCTTGATGTGGCGATAGGCAAAGGCTGGTAGGAGATTCTTGCGTTGGATCTAGTGGAGATATTGTAAGTCCGAATTCATGTAGAGTGGCATTTGAAGGGCCATATTTACCTTATGTTCTTCACCTTCAGCAAGTAGGACTCCATCACCTGTAACACGCCGCAAGCTCTGTCGAACCAATTCGGGTTTTTCAAAATCGTAAGCTTTCGTAACAAGCAGCTCACCCAATGCTTTAGGGCTTGTCAAAGCTACCCTTTCGAGGTTTGCGACCATATAGTACCGGAGGAGATCTTGATTGGGCCTGTTCTTGGCCCACTCCCTTAGCTGCGGATGGGGGGTCTCAAGCCAGAAACTCGGAGAATTGCCGGTGAGCCAGCTTCGATCCTAGATAATATTAAGTACATTCATCGAATCCATAGGAATGAGGGCTGGCCTACCGGAGGTGAATAAATGTGTTTCAATGGAGTGAAGTAGTCAGGATACAACACAAGCTGATAAACAATCTTGGACGCAATAATGATCCCGAAAAGGACAGCAAACGTCGCAATCCTGGAATTGAGGATAGCATACTCCGGCTTGAGGTATATTCCGGCAGCGAGGCCGAAATAGAGAATGGTGAAGCTGTCGGTGATGCGCCCCATTGCTAAATCTTTCCTGAGGATCGGGGAAAAACAGATGTAAGTTGACAGCTCAAATTCCACATAGAGCAGAGAGGATTAGAGAAGATGTTCTTGGGTATCAAACACTTTCTCAGTTTCAATTAGTTCCCCAGTAGCACTAATTAAGAGCCGTAGACGAGATGACAAAGTGCTTGGCTCTCGTTGGTCCAGTTAGATCCGAATCCTATACGGAGTAGGTTCAGTCTCAGAGATAGCAATGCACACTCGAGAAAACGCGGATGACTTTCGCAGAGCTGAGATGAGTTGATTCGATAAAATCCACAATAGATGGTTGCCTAGGAGTGACATATGTTAGACATATGACAAGTGCGGACCTCGGGAGACTGCAAACAGATAAAACGCATAACGCAAGCAATAACAACTATGCAAAAATGGAAAGATCCATGGACATGTCGAACTAGTTATACAGATATGATAACCCGGGAACTTAGTATATTGACCTGCATATATGATATTTACATTATTCAAGGGTTAGTTTGCATTCTGATTCCCTTAGAGCTCCCGAACACCTGGGGTGCACCCACCTGGGCACCCGTGGACCTCCAGGGCTGTGTTGTGATTACGTCATTAGATCTGCCCCATGCAAGCGGGTCCCCCCAAATGATTCCAAGGTTCCTCTCTTCCTAGGTCCCACCCGAGTATCATCTACCTTGACAACAGAATGGACTCCTCGTCAGACAGCGATGGCCATGTCGAGGAGTCGTTTGATTATTTTACCCTAATTTCCAATAGAAATCAGAGATCCGGTCCACAATGAATAGACCGGAGACGTCCAATGGATGGGTGCACGCAAGGGGCATTATCTGCGTACGTCAACATGTTAATATCAACCGAGACCTGATTACACCTTTGCTACAAATACGAAGAAAGACGTCATTTACTCGAAGCTATAACGCGCATACCCTGTAGCCCACCAAAGGAAATATTATTATAACACGAAGAACGGGAATATGTATAGCCAAGCCGCACCCGCTCCAATCGAAACTCGACAACAACATCATCAAAAATCACACTCTGGCTCAGACATCCGCCGACCCTACAATTCTATCATACTCACCAACCGTATGCTGCCAAACCTTCTGCCCCATCCCCTGCTCACGCAGTCCAGCCAACAACCTCACAACCTTAGGCCCAGCATGCTCTCCACTCCAGTGAATACTGTAAACCCCACTCCCAGCCTTCCCATCCGTCCCACTAGCAACCTCAACCCCCTCCGACAAAGGCACACCCGAGGAATCTTCTACCGCAGCATCCAAGCGGAGACGGGGAGGATACTTAGCACTCGTCGCGAAGAAAAGATGTCTCTCCCCGGACTCCCGAATCGGGATATAGACTAAAGGCCCAATAACCATAAGCACAATAGTCATAAGCCAGGTCAGAAGCGTATTCGACTCGCGTCCAATCCCCGTCTTCACTGCGCCGGGGTAATCGTTAATAAACGTCACTTCTGGCGCTTGCTCAGCCAATGTTTCCAGAGCCATATCAGTCATGGACACAAGGTGTCCACGTATCTTTAGCATGGACATCGTCTTCCCTTGGAAGTCGGTTGTGTCAATGGGACCTTCATGACCACCGGCTAGGACGCTGACGACGCGCCGTAGACCCCTTGCTTGTTTGAGATTGGGGAGGAGGTTGATGATGAATCGTGTTCGTGCGTAGTACCCAGTTGCAGTCATGATATGGAGGCCTTCGGATGTATCTGTTTTTGTATCATGAGCAACAATATCTTTTCCTTGTAGGTGATGTGAGAATGTCCTACCCACCTTCCCCGGAACGAATTGTTCCACAGCTAAGGAAGAGGATGTTGATACTCTTTTCCTTACTATGAAGCTCGCGACAGACCGCGTCGACATTTTGAATTAGACTGACGTCCGCTTTGATGAAGGTGAATTCTCCTTCTGGGTTCAGCTGTCGGCATTCGGCTGTGATGCGGGCTGCGGCTTCTTGTGAGCGGCCGATGAAGTATGCGCGGGGAGATCGGGCTGAGCGCGCGAACTCTTTTAGGGCTGCTTCGCCGATGCCGCTTGTTGCGCCTACGAAGACTGCCACGAGGCCTGCTGGGAGTGTATTGGCGATTTGGGCATTTGAGGACTGGACATCTGATAGAGAGACCATTTTGGATGTTGGCGAATGAAGCGTCTGCGGTCGATTATAGAGGTTACTTGGAGTTACGATCCCATCTATTTATATTGAAGGGATCGTATTGTGCTACGTTCTTGTTCGGTGTATCTATAGACCGTCTCGGACGGACGACGGACTTAAGCCGCACAAGACGGAGGAATGAACCCCCCTGGTAATTGAACCATAGAATACGAAGAAAACTTTCGTTTATCTCTCGTATTTAATTGAAGCGTGGACATCTAATTGTGCCGCATTTTATTCTAAATAGAACAAGAATAGTCGGTCGCTTATCCGGCCTAGACGTTCAGGTGTCTTACAAATTGTGTAATTCGCAACAGATTCCGGAATACCTCCCTAGGAGCGGATGAAAATGATTCATATAGTCCCACCCTAGAATAACTCATACATTATTTTGGATCTTGCGATAGTCAGGCAGAGCCCATTTCACCATGCATTCCGACTCGAGAATTTGCTTGGTAGTAGGACGATCCTCGGGTTTGAATGAGAGCATATGCCGTAACATGTCGAAGAAAGCGTCTCCCTCCCCTGCATCAAACGACGGGATCCCCTTAGCTCGCCTAGGCTGTTCCACGCTATCTTCAAACCGATCATCCCAAGATCGGAAATATTCACGGTTTATTGGCTTACCATCCTCGGTAAATTTATACTGTCGCGCCTCCCACTTGCTCCACCATTTAGGTGGTAAAATATCAAGAGTATCAATATGCTCACAGGTCATGTCGTCCTCCGTTGAGAGAAACCCTTCAAACAACGGCCGTTGAGCGATGATAGACCATATCGTACAGGCGAGAGTCCAGATGGATAACGAGGGGGGCGCGAGATTCGTATTTTAGTTCTTTTGACGGTGAAAAGGCTTCACCGAAGTCTATAAGCAGGATCCTAGTTTCTGCAAGTGTGATTTTCTCACTTACTTCCCCTAGCCATATGGGAATAATGCCGTGGGAAGGGGCACTAGGAGGAAGCGGATTACCATCTAGACGAACAACTGGGTCTAGCTCCGGTGCTCCATATTTCTCATTATCATAGCAACGTAGTAAACATGTTTGCTATTTGGGCCGTGAATGGCGAACCTATCTAGAATGGAAGGGACCATATTCATTCCTGGAGTGTTGACTGGAGAACAAGCAGGAACAGTGGGAGCGGATATAATGTCCCCTTCCCTTTGGGTTCGAGTTTGCTACGCAAACTTTCAGTACAACGTATTTATTGGATTGTCTATCACGGGCCAGCCATGTAGTTGAATAAGACCCATGTCCCAGCTTATGAACAACTCGATATCGACCGTGAAAGTGATCCCCGATTCGTATAGGGTGCTAGCCCCCTAGTCGATAGTTCTCAAGTTTTTCGACTCCCTTAAGAGGCTCGTAGAGGAAATGTGTGTTAATATCGTCACCGGTCTCCGTTGACTTGAATGTAGTGAGAGTGAACGCGTAGCGGGGTTGGTTGTGACGAAGAAGTGGCATTCGCACCTTACGAAGAATAGGATAGTCAACTTGGGAACGTAAATCACGCGGGCGCAACAACCGAGTGGACAATGATATCAATTTAGTTATCGTGGTATCATGTGGAAAAGTTGAGCCAAAAGAAGTTCGATAAAAGAGATGAAGATATTTCACTAGTGTGAGTTATGTGGTCGGCGCGAGATGAATGCTGGTGAGATGTAACGCGACACGCGCTAGGACAGCTTGGGGGGTTGGGTGCCGTCTGATCGGGGGTTGGCTGCCGATCTGGGGGTTAGGGGTTAGGGGGGCTTGGGTTGGGGTGAAGTATGAAACGCGGGCTTGTTCTCGATATGTGGGGTCAGACATGCTATTGTCAAGTATTTTCAACGGAATGCGTATGAACAAGTAAATGAAGCAGAAACAACTGGAATAAATTGGATAGCAGTCTGAATGGATTCAAGTCAAAGGTTATACATGGAAAAGTCGTCTTGCACATTTTAAGCTGTTTTTACCGCCTCCTTTACCTACACCACTAACAAGGGAGGAATATCTAAACAAAAAGACCACCAAAAAGAGCATCAAAAAGACACTGAAAAGACTAACGAAAAGAGCACTAACCAGAGCATCAAGAAGACCACTGAGATGACCACTAAGAAGACGTGACAAGGCCGCATTTCCCAACTAGGAAGATTCCAAGGTTGCTTATCAGTCTTGGCGTTAACCTTGGAAAGAGCTTGTCCTAGGAGTCAGGTGATATACCTAAAACAGGCAAAATGACACACGTACATCTTGTTTACTTCCGACTCAAGACGAGACAGTAAATCACAAAACATAACCAAAGATAGCACCAGGCGTTGGAAATTGTATCAAACCGTGTAGCGCCCGGAGGGACTCAGCGCTTAGGTACATGGATCCTCCCCTGGCGCGTGCTGATGGCCAGTGAGCAGTCAGAATGGATAGTGACGGACCCATCTTCCCCAATCTGTCTCAGGGCTTTGGAGAGTGGGCCAGTGAGAGTTTGTTATCTTTGCTCCAAGAATAGGCATATACCAACAGTTCGGGGTATTGATGAACGGTAACGTAGTAGATTCCCAATTTAGAACATGAAAAGGACAAAAGGACAAAGGAATCAACAAAATCGCCGGAGATGAATCAATGAAGGGAAAGCCCTTTCAGCCCTAACGAATCACCCGCTCGTGCCTGTAACTTCCCGCGTCCCCACCCCTGCCGAACTCCTCCTCCCCTCGATGTGTTTCACTTCTTCTTCTCTTTTCTCAACTTCCATTCAATTGTGTCACTCATTTTTCAGTGCCTCTCCGACCTTGGGAAGTTGCCACACTCATTCAATCCTATTCCCATCTGTTACCACCTATTTCCACTGGGAATTGCACATTCTTTCTCCACACCATCGCGACCCCTTTCTTGGCGAGATCGGCGGTCTTCAATGAGAGTCTGCCTATTGTCGCTTTAAATACCCCAATACGCGCCTGAAATACCAGCGCTTCATTGTGATCATATACACGTGGCTTGTAGCCCTCGATACCTGACACTGCGATCAGCCTCCCTCCTTGCCTTGCGCAGGTATGCGCCATTCCCGCGGTTAAGATACAATCGTTCCCCTCGTTGCGCCTGAACTTTGCCTCTCTCTATTCTTTACACCTGTTTCGAACCTCAAACGCGACTTTGCCGGCTGGCCCGAGAAAGTCGACCTCTATTGATCGCGCCATTCTTTTCAATCTTCTGTGATCACTTTCTGGCAGGACCAGGTCAATTGACACAATGCTATGCGGTGGAGACCGTGAGAAGGGGGATGTAGCGATGGAGGAGAAATGGGACTACGTGGTAGGTCTGCACCATGACAGTGTTCTATAGATGGCTCGGCATACTGATAATGGACTCCCTTAGAACTTGGACGACTTTAAATCCGAGTCTTGCTGGACTCCGTTCTCATATTTCTTCTTATGGGTGTTCCTATTCATCTCGTTTGCAGTCTACGGTGTCGATACATTCACTGCAATCAACTTGCTGGCTTTCTCTCGGTGGTCCGGCAGGGTTCAACCCGCCATTCCCTTCAATATCTCCCGCTGGATCTTCGCCGCCTGCATCATTGCTTCGTTCATTCTTTTGGCCTACCGATGGATACATGCCATCCGCGCCATCCGCTCGGGTAGTATTACTCGCAGCTTTCTGGACCCGCTGGCTGTGCGTATCCAGAGTGTTCGCTTCGGCAAGCGGGGTCGTGGATACAGGAGATTCCTTGTATTCGCTGAATTAACGAAAGACAGGAAAGCCGCAGAATATGTTGCTCTGTATGCATACTTCTCTTTCCAGTGTAAGTAAACTGCTATTACCTAATTGATCTTCTAAACTTGCTAATGGGGGGTTTTAGTCTGGATGAACACGATCTTCGCGGATGGCCCGCGTCAAGTTCTCAATGCGATTACTCTATATTCGGTCATGCAGATGGACCTCATTCCTGGAGGAAAGAATGCAGCGCACGACGATGGATCTTCCTCGATTGGTCAATTCTTCAACAACATTAAGATTATGGCCGAGGACAACAACCTTCAAGCTGTGGTCTTGTTTGGTATGCTTTTCACCTTGGTCATTTGGGTCCTATCAGTTCTCAAGTTGATCTCGGCGATCGTACTCTATTTGATCTTCCTGTTCCACCATATCCCAGCGGAAGACGGTACTCTTTCGAGGTACTGCCGTCGGAAGGTTGGTCAGCGTCTGAAGCGCATCGTGCACCGTAAGAACACCAAGGCCCTGGCGAAGGGACTCAAATTACAAAATAGAGCACCCACTCAGCCAACGCTGGTCACGGATTCGAACCCGACCCTGCCGTCTTTCGCTGGAGATAAAGTCCCCGCAGTGGCTTCGTTGTCGCGAAGTACCACCCAGACCACTTTGCCGCCTTACTCGCGATCAGCTTCCTCGACAATGCCGGGACTCAACCCGACACTGCCGAATCTGGACTTCGATGCCAAACCAAGACTAGCTCGAACCGGAACTTCATCTTCAGCAGCTTCCGAGTCCGCTTCACTGACAGGCAATGCCGCCGGAATGGGATACACCCCTCTTGATCACCAGAACCCGACGCTTCCCCCAGTACCTCCCTTGCCGGCAAACGTCCCATCACGGATGGCCACTCCTCACTCTCGAGCGACTCCAGCGCCATATGGCAATGATGATCACAATAGATATCGCAACCTGACTGATAACTCTGATTCTCGGCCATATCAGAGTCATACCCCAGCGCCCGATTATGCTTCGGCTGATATAAACGCTTCCGATGATTATGATTATTTCAACCGTGACCATGCGCCTGCCCACTACGATCCCTACGGTCCTCCGAGGGGGGCATACGGCGGAGAGGACGGGTACGGAGCAAGATACGGGACTCCCGGTGGCCAGAGAGGCGCGCCTCACGCACAGCAAGATTACTACCCACAGGATCCATATTCAACAAGATCATACACGCCGGCCAGCACTGGTGGGACGCCTGCTCCTTATCGATCCAACACCCCGGCAAGCTACCGACCACCCCCTCCCCCACAAGCCACATTGGTGCAGCCTCCACCAAGGATGTTCACTCCAATGAGTTCGGCAACTCCCGCTCCTCAAAATGGCGGCTATGCAGCCTTCAACCCATCGATGGCTCATCACACACCCCAGCCTCCCTCCCAGGGGCCTCCCGGTCCGTCCAGCTTTACTCGAGCAAACACCACTTCGCCCTCTGCCATGCATCGCGCTCCACCAGGGCACGCATTCAATCGCTCAAATACCCACCAATACTGATAAGGCTCACCACCGTAGCCGTCACTTGAAGGCCATGAGACCTTATTACGATGAAAACCAGGAGCTGGCTCTCCTGTGGTTGATGACCGGACCAATCGTTAATATTGATCACGACCAGCGAGCCTCTCGAGATCTTGTACATACCCCTATTCGCCTTACTCTGATATCCTTCCTCAAATTCTTATTCCCAATGACACGAATCAATCACTTTTTATTCCCCCATTTACTACAGCCAATGTATAGATAACAAGTAACTCGAAAGAAATCTTGATATTCTTTTTTATTACGCGGTTCCATGACCCAAAACAGTATATAAGAAATAGGATCAGTATTTATACACCTATACTAATAAGTTATACAATCAACACCATCCACCATCCACAACAAACCAACTCCCAATCACCAAATCTTCTTAGCAATCATCTCATACCGCTGTACATGATCAACATTGAAATCTCCATCCTTACTCTTATCTTTCTCCTCCTTCTCCTTCAACCGCCGCAACCCATCGGGATCATCCGCATAGATCAACCTCCGCTTCTCATCCCCAACCTCAACAACACCCCACCCACCAACGCGCTGACTCCCCTCAATATGGAAATCACGAGAACGTGGTAGCCCACTCTCAGTACCAGACTGGTTATTCGAGGCCTGTCTACGCTCGCTCTCGCGACCCTTCATCTTCCTGTAGCGGGAGCGCGCAAACGCAAGCAGGGCCATGCCCAACAGGAGTTTCAGGATGAGCAGGACGATGAATCCTGTCAGTAGCAGGATGCCCGTGAAGATATGGACAGACTGGGCCGGGGACGGGATGGCATTTTCGAGGAGGGTGCGGAAGAACGCGCTCACGTGGGCGGCGGAGGCCGGGAGAAGGGTTGCGAGTGTCAAGGGTGGGGCGGAGGGAATCGGGGAGGGGGCGTAGTGATTGTGGATTGAGGTTAGGGAGGTTGCGCCTATTGCTGTCGAGGAAGGGTGTTGGGGGAGTAGGGCGGCTAGGAACATTTGGTAGGTCTGCACGGAGATACGGAAGAAGAGACAAGAGAGAGGGATGACTGGGAGGCCGATGCGACGGGTTAGGTTTTGTTCGCCGAAGGCGTTGGTGTAGTAGTCCTTGGCTAGCACGTCGAGGAAGCGGCCGTAGATGGCTGGGCGGTTGTTGTTGAATTTGTTGATGTAGGCGTGCTTGAGCCAGTCTACTAGCATCTCCGAGCCTAGTACGACTAGGAATGGGCCGAGAACCTGGGCTAAGGTCGGGATGAAGGAGTTGACGCTGTGGAAGGATGATAGGATTGAGGATGGGAAGAGGGTGAATGCTTGAGGCAGGATGGATGATGATGTGCGTGGAGGCGTGGATAGTGGTGTGCTGTTGGTAATTGTGGAGGACTGCGCAGTGAAGCTAGATCCCAGCCCGAGGTTGCCGACGAAATTGAATGCGCCTGTCTCCACGATATTACGCGAAGCGATGATAGTAAGCATCAGCCATAGCTGGAACCGTTCCACGACGTCCGCACAGGTAAGCTGGAAGAGGTTCTCTTTCTCGAACTTGCGGAAAACGGTGGATTTAATTTCCACAAACTGGTTTGATAGAAGTAGCGTAATCAGTGCGTTGGAGTATGAGTTCACTGCCACATTCAGAGTCATGACCTGGTAGAACAGAGACAATGAATGGGATACTGTGTAAACCAGCGCCACCAGAAACAACCAGAATGGACGGATGATCTTGCTTCGGCCGTCCGGACGACGCTCAAGAGCCTCCCGCGAGAAGAGACACTCGAGGACATCTTGACCTATGGCAGCTAAGAGCCTGTCGCTGACCTCCAACACATTGTAGATAACGTATAGCTTGATAGCAGCCTGTCCACGAATCCAGTGATACATACGACTTGCATCGAAGTACATCAAAACACAGCAGGTGGCTATCATCAGCAAGCCTGTCAAGATGTCTGCTTTGTCGTCTGGAAGTAGCGCCGAGGGCCTCGACTTCTTTCGCCGATGGTGATGTTTGCGGGATTCGGAGAACCGATGTTTCCTTCTTGGTGCAATATCTGGCCCCACAGAGGATCCTGGGGGCAGGTGAGGAGTGGCGTCGGGTTCGCTTTCGCGTCTTGCACGCTGGTCCTCCTTCGCATTATGATTCCTCCTGCGCCATACTCGACCAATCCCATTCAGCACAAATTTCCAAATGAAACGGATCTCAGCTCCCAAGTTCATCACCCATGACTCGCCCAGGATATAGACAGCCTTGATAAATCGCAGTGGCATTATCGTGAAAGAGTACAGCCATGCATCAAGGCAAGCAAGACTCCCAAAGCAAAGTACCTGCTCGAGCATAGGCGCAAGCATAATAAAGTTCATAAGCCTCTCGATCTTAACTCGTGATGATTCATAGGGAAAGTCATTGGCTGCGTCACGGTGGATGTACAGTGGTGAAGGTCGCCCAGAAGCAAGCTCAAGCTGGAGATAGGTTGGCAGAGAAACTGGCGGCAAAGGGATAGATGATGGCAAGGGTGAGGGTATGGGCGATTCTATAATCTGAGGTGATGCTAAAAGGTGGCTCTTCAAATCGCGTTCCAGCGCGGGTCGGTCCTGTTTCGAGCGCGACGCCCATGTCTGGGTTAGGCGGTCATTACCTGGGGTAGGAGGCAATTGACGCCGCGTGGAGCTAGGGGTAGAAACTGTTCGTGCTGGCTGCGGCCGATTCCGGAGAGGGGAATTTTGAGTATTACGTGGGAAGGCAGGACTCGCTGGCGCAGAAGCATCTCCCAGCAACACTTCTTTAGTGGGCCGTAACTTTGGCAAAACATCCGCGGGCGATGGCTTTTCGCTCAGCGACTGAAGCACAAACTCCGGTATCTCCGGTCGTGCGAGAGGAGCATTCCCATGGGCGTTGTCCGAGACTACTCGCCTTCCGTTGTTCGTTTCTGGACTCATGGGATGGTAAGGTATGGACTCTGGTGAGGACGTGAGCGCCTGAATCTTCTCAGGAGACAACTTCATAACCTTGTCTTTGTCCTCTGGTAGTCGGTGAGACAGATCATTAGACAACTCAGCCAAAGCAGCCTTAGCCTTGGGGCCATCGTACACATCCACTACCGACAACTGGCCAAGATTATCCCCGTTGTTCGGTAAATGCTCGACTAGGATGCCCAGTCCCTGGTCGCGTTCCACGTCCACCATTTTATGTCCCCCGTTGGCAAGGTGCCATTCCGAAGTCGTATCGTGTTTCCGTTGCCCATTTGTGCCATTGTCTCCATTGATTAGGCGTTGGTCAGCCTCGCCGTTAGACTGTGCCACAGGAGTATCTGGTCGACTGTGTTTCCCCTCAAGTGAATGGGACAACGATTGTTTCTCAACCTTCAAGCTCCCATTGGTGCCGTGTTCAACCCCACGTTCGGCCATCTTCCGCTGTGACGGAGCTTCACTGGTATCTGCGGCAGGGCTCATTCTGACGACCCAGCAACCCGCGACAAGCCAATGTGTTCCTTGAAAAATATACGCAAGCTCGCAGTGTCACCGCTCATGCCATCAGAAAATGCAGATATCCAACTTGCATCATTTGAATCTGGCTCGCGACGGGTGATCAAGCTATGTTCGAAGGCGAAGAGGCGTAAAAAAAGATAGGAATGCAACAGTGGTGTAGTTTGTTGTATTAAAAATATCTTTCGTCCAGCTGGTACATCCTGAAAAAGCAAGGCACAGTCTGGGCTGTTCAGAACACTTATTGATGTCGGGGTCTGGGGGAAGATAAGGATGGCAGATTATCTGGCAGGTCGGTGAGTCGGAGGTTGGCGTCATTGGTGCCTCAGGCATAAAAGGGAAGTCACGTGTGTCCGAAATGCTCTGTCGACTACAAACTCAACTATGTACAAGAAGAATAGTCGGCCGCTTATGCGGCCGTGTCAAGTCTTTTATGGTAGTCTTCTCGGATAGTTGTTTTAGATGTCTTTTTTGGTGGTCGTTTTTGGTGGTCTTTTCGGATCCTTCTCAGTCTTTTCAGATGTCTGTTTTCATAGATATTGTCTCCCCCTTTCTCGGTTTGTTAGCTAGGCGGCAGAAAAAGGCGGGAAAAAAGCATACTTTGTGTTTGAGACTGTTCTCTGTATAAGCTTTGACAACGCAAAAATGTCTCTATCCTCACTACCATTGGAGCTCTTACTCTTCATACCGCCCAACCTGCAATATGCATCAGAATTCAATGCCATGTCACAGACCTGTCGCCGGTTTTACACCATATTCAATCCTCAGCTTTACTCAAGATTTGCAAATAGCTGTGAACCCAACATTCTGCGCCTTGTGGAAACTGGCAATTCAGACGCTCTACACAAACTAGTGTCTGCTGGTTACAGATTGTTTGATTTTCTAGAAACACCGCAGGATTGGTGGAATGATTGTGACACTTTCGAAATTGAAATAAACCTGCAATTTAAGTCTTCCATGATCATCGCAGCAAGAAATGGTCATCTGGAGATTCTTCAAATTTTTATTGACAACCTGCCTTCAATCATTACAAGGTCTGCTATTCGATCCCAGCATCTTCTGAGCCACGCAGCCCTACGTGGTCAGTTAGACGTAGTTAAGTTCCTAATTGCTCAGGGTGCCCTAGTGAACTATATTGATGAGCTGGGAGGCACTCACTCGATTCTTCATTCTGCGGTTGTGGGGGGCCATGTGTCGGTGGCTAAATATATAATCGAGGAGACTAAATGCCAAGATCTATCACAAGATTCGGCATTTCATCTTCTTTGGTGTGCCATAAAGGAAGGTCAGTTGGAGATGGTCAAATACCTGGTCAAATGTGGTGCTTCCTTTACCTATCGACCCTCCAACTACATCTACGACCATAACCCTGACTCGGCCTTTTATGCTGCCATGAAAGCGGACCACCCAGACATCTACGACCATAACCCTGGCTCGGCCTTTGACACTGCCATGAAAGCGGGCCACCCAGACATGGCATCATTCTTCCTAGCCAATGTGACTCCCGAATCTCTGGATAGCATAAGCACCAGCGGCTGGAAATGGATGTTGAAACCTTGTGACCGTGATAATGGGGGAGATTTACGGCCATCTCCATGGAGAGAACCACACATTGCCCCGATGATATTGGACCGAGTCGATCTGGAAACACAACTCGCAACTATTACTCCACTTGAGCAAGCCTATCTGCTTGGCGTGGCGGCAGAGACTGGAAACATGTCTCTCACTCAACGACTACTTGACAAGGGGTGTAGCCCTGTCTTGTCCGAATTGAGATACTTACCAGTGTCCCGTGCAGTGAGAAATGGGCATGCCGAAATTACGGAGACTTTGCTTCGTTGCCCAGAGTACCCAGTTTCCGAAAAGGACGTTTCTTTTGCGGCGAAAAGGGGAGAAACAGCTATTGTCCTCGGGCTTCTCCGCAAAGTGGGAAGAAATGATTTCAAGAAATTTGCCAAAGTTGCATTGGATGCAGCTTCCTATCCTGACCAATTCATACCGGTGATGATGTTTAGTGTTTTTGACATTCTCACCGAACAAGACGTGGAGACTTTGATTTCGATGGTAACAAGCTCCACTGGTCGTCAAGCTTCGCGTGTAGGTCATTTGGAAGCTACCAACTTTTTAATTGAGAAAGGGGGAAGCAACCATTAGACGAGATACCAAAATCCCTTGACATTCTCAGACGAGGATCAGAAGAACCTACTTCATTTCTAGAGCACGCGGCGGCCGTTTGTCCAGTTACTCAATTCCAAGCAGCACTTGCGCAATGGAGATTTGAGCTGGATCCAGACAGCGATGATTGCAAAGCGGCACTTGTTGCCGCTGTCCTTCACAAGAAAAACGAAATTATTCAATTATTTATTGAGAAAGGGTTTGATGTCACTTCCACATACATACGCCATGGGAAGCTCTCGCCGTTGCTACATCTAGCCGTGGAACCACTGGAAGACGAGGCGGGCGTGGTCATTGACTTTGACGATGAAAACCAAGCGCAAGCACAACAGTATCATTATCCCAATGGACATCCATGGTTGGACCACGTACATCCATGCGCATCAATTCAATTGCTCATCGAGCATGGTGCAGAAATCAATCAAGTGGACGCAGATGGCCTAAACGCTCTGTTATTAACGACAGAAAGTGGAGCACTCGGCTTGACAAAGGAACTTCTCAGGCTGGGAGCCAACCCTTTGCTCAGGACGTCGGCAAAGGTCAGCGCTCTCGAGCTAGCCATTTCCCAATACCGAACACAATATGTGAAAGCCTTTTTGAAGGCCATTGAGACTCATTCTTTCACCTGTGAGAACTTCATCAGCCTCATCCCTGATGCTCTGCCACTGGAGATGCTGCCAAATAGAGCTCCTATAATTCCAGGAGATCGATATTATATCTTTGCAAGCGAATTAATTTCAGTGCTCGGAATGCTTGCTCGAGATGGACGGATGGAGCTACCTCGGGAATCGCGACCTCAGGCATGGATGAGGAACTCGCCGCAGGACTGGCTGGAGAGTTCGGAGGACAGCTCCAGGGAGAGCTCCAGGGAGAGTTCGGGGGAGAGTTCGGAGGAGGACTCGGAGGAGGACTTGGAGGAAGACACGGAGGACGACTCGGAGGAAGACTCGGAGGAAGATTTGGAGGAAGATTTCGAAGAAAACCGGGAAGAGAGTATCGAAGAAGATAATTTTGTACCAATTTGGTCTGGAACCGAAGACGATGACAGCATTAGCGATCCACGCTGGGCGCGATTCTTCATCGCAAAGGCCATGACCCAACATCACTGGCGAATGATGTACCCAGTACCAATTTAGGTTGAAACTGAAAGGACAGAAACGACATTTATAATGAATAAGATGTTAATTGTATATCTGATTTGCGAACTAAATGCCAAACTAATTTCCCAGACTTAATTCAATATCACCTTCGAAAAGTTGCCTTATCAAGGAACTCCATTTAGTACCCAAGCCTAGCCTCGGCCTTGGAGCATGGTGAGAATTGACAGCTGATGACGATTGGCGTGTCCTTCGTGTCTGTATTCAGGGTTAATGTCCTGCTATTTTGCCCGCCGAATCCTTAGTACGAGCTGATCATTCGTCTGTGACTCGAATGCCGTGAGCGTCCCTCTAGTCGAAACCTCTTTCTTGCTTGTTTCAAATGCTATCTCGCTCCCTTTGCTTTATCAACCTTCGATACCATTGTTCCTGTCGACGGGTGTTTACCAACTCTCGCAAGATATCATGTAGCTAAGACCACTGGCTTAGGGGTTCAGCTACCTTTATCCTCTCTCCGCCTCCACATATTATTAACATATTATTTGCAAATGAGTATTTGCTGTACCGGTAGAAACTCTGGTGTTGTGGTTCACACCTCAAGTGCCAGACTACAACCCAAGAAGCCCTCTTTTCTGCCCCCTTTTGAGACTCAAGTTGCGGCACAAAAAGCTTAGTCTGTTCTAAAACAAGTGGAATCAACTAAACGTGAAGTCCTATCATTCCAGATCCGCATGTCAATCATGCCTAGAATGTTGGTGTTCCATAACTCTAATGCATATATGCTATCATCAGATGTACGTCAAGTGACAAGGCAACACAATGTGTCCCTTAATCCCAAAGCTTCTAGATCTACCAGTAGCCAGGGAAAAGCCAATCCAGCTTCTCCTTAGCCTCAGGCTTCCAGTTAGCCTGAGGGGTGCTAATACCGAACTTAATACCGCCAGCCAGGTGCTTAGCCTGGACCAGCTCGCTGTGCTCATCGCTAGCCAGGGCATCAAGGACAGCAGTCACGAAACGGCGAGCGTTGTCAGCGTTGGACTTCATGTTGCCCATGACCATCTCGACGGTGACGTCGGCGGTGTCCTCGTGCCAGCAGTCATAGTCGGTGGACATGCAGATCATTTGGTAGGCGATCTCGGCCTCGCGGGCCAACTTGCCCTCAGGGAGGACGGACATGTTAATGACGCTTCCGCCCCATGAGCGGTACATCTTGCTCTCGGCGCGGGTGGAGAACTGAGGGCCCTCTAGACGATAGAAAAGACATGGTTAGTGATCTTTCGTTGTGAGAATAGGTTATAGCTTCACATACCCATGCAGATCACAGTACCACGGTCGTGAAGGACGACACCATCACCCTCAAGGCTGTGTCCGCACTCGCGCACCACCTTGGCGATGCCCTCGTCGAAGGGGTCACCGAAGGGGACGTGAGCAACAATGCCGCCCTCGAAGAAAGTCCACGGGCGCACACCCTTGGTGCGGTCAATGACCTGGTCGGGGATGACAAAGTCGCGGGGCTTGATATCCTCCTGCAGACTGCCGACGGCGGAGAAAGCAATCACACTGCGGACACCGATGGAGCGCAGGGCGGCGATGTTGGCGCGAGCGGGAACCTCATGAGGAGCGATCTGGTGGTGCAAGCCGTGGCGGCTCAAGAAGGCAACGGCCACAACCTTGTTGTTGTGCTTACACTCATGGTGCAGGATAGTGATGGGCGAGGAAGGGGCGCCCCAGGGGGTTGTGATATCCAGCGAGGCCACCTGAGTGAAGCCGGGCAGCTCGCGCAGACCGGTGCCGCCGATGACAGCGATTCGGACGGGCCCTGTCAGATTCACTATCGTCAGCTGTCTATCGAAGTGGGGGTATGAGGGGTACTGATGCGAGAAAGGCAGAAGGCACACGTACCGTCGTATGTGTTAGGGAGAGAAGCCATTCTGCGAGCGAGTTGTTTCGCGGACTCAATTCGACGAAATGGTTTTGATATAGAAGAGAATGAACGTAAGCCTAAGATCCAGCGCATCTTGCGCCATCTTCAAATCTCAGAGGCTGCGGCCAACCTGCGCTTCTCCGATTGGTTGTCAATCGACCCACGTGCTGCGGGTTCCTGAGGCCGCCACCTTCCTTTTTGGGCGATCTATAAAACTTTAATACACATCTACAGGTACATCTATCTCTACATGGCTATCAAGGTCATAGTTGATCATTGGTCAGGAATATCTTGGAGATCTTCTTTTGTGCAATTGGATACATGTACAATTTGGGATAATAAATACAATTTGGGGGTGGTACAGAGTCCAGAGTAATGCACTCGAACCAATCTAAGCCGGCAACCACTCATAATGATGAGGACCCTTGTGAACTGGTCCTGGATCCTCACCTGGAATACGAGGCTTGTTATAGTTGTGTGCACCGAAGTAGTCCATTTGCGCCTCCATGAACTGGGTTGGCAGTCCCAATCCACCCTCATACTTGAGATATTCCAGAGTAGCCGAGAGAGCCGGAATATATTGATCAAACATGGTCCCTTCTATGACAACCTGCTTGAGACTGTGGAAGTTCTGGCGCAACTCATGCGCGACCGCGTCCACAAACTTCGCGTTCGTCAGCTCATTGAGGACTGCAAGCGGCGGCTGCAGTAGATCCGCGATGTGATCGGACTTGATGATACATCCCGCTCTCCAGATCTGCAGACAGTCGCCCAAGTTGACATTCCAGCCTTCGTCTATCGAGGCCCGGGAAATCAACTCCAGGCCCTGACAGAAGGAGGCCAGGAACGAGCAGTACACAGCTTGTCGTAGGTTCTCGATGATGACTTTATGGTCCCGGGTTCCCTCGATCGGTTTCGGCATGGGCATCTCCAGCTTCTTCGCAGCACGCGCTCGCTCTATGCGGTTTCCACTTGAGATTCGCAGGTAATGGGCGGCCGCTAATGTCGGACAAGAGACATGCCGGGCGGCAGACTCCATGAGACACCAGAGTGGAGTGCCTTCGGTGTTATCGTCGTCCTGAACCACCTTGTCAAGAACATCATCGAGCACATATCCATCATCCCGACTGGCTCCCTCGCCTTTGCGGTCACCTTTGGGAGTTCTTTTTGTGTGTAAGATGTTGGCGCCGATATTAATCAGGAAGTTGCCCCGCAGCTCGCCAGTCTCGTTCCATTTATCGAAGACATCTCCGATTTTGCCATGCTCCATGCCCAGTCCCTCATGCATGTATTGCCATGTTTCAGCAAGAACAGAGAGCATTCCACCCTCGATGCCATTATGAACCATCTTGATGTAGTGTCCTGATCCACCGGGGCCCATGCGCTTCACGCACGATGTCCCGGATTTGGGATCATGGGCCGCATACGACTCCAAGAATGGCATAATACGCTCGATGGCTTTGGCATCTCCACCAGGTGAGAGACTGGGTCCCCGCCGGGCAGATTGATACCCACCCGAGACACCCATTCCGATCCAAGAGACGCCGATATCAGCACATTCTTTCTGGCGCCGCTCGGTTCTCCGATAGTTCTCGTTTCCGCCGTCGAGAATGATGTCGCCCTCTTTCAGGTCGGGTTTCAACATGCGGAGTACTTCATCTGCGGGCTCACCGTGCGTGATGGAAAACATGAATAATTTCCGGTCGGACTTGCCCTCTAGGCTCTTGGCGAATTGGTTGATATCATAGAAGCCTTGAACTCGGCCTGTGATGCTCTTGTCGTCTCTTGCGTAGTGCACCACCTCGTCGACGTTCTTCTTTTCTATATCCCAGACCGAGACTTCTAGGCCGAGCTCAGCGAAGCGGAGGGTCATCATAGAGCCCATGTTTCCGGCCCCGACGACCCCGATGCTTTTGATGGTGGGCGGCATAGTGAGTTGGTCTTGACTCTGTAAGGCTAGCTCATTCAGGGGTCTCGATTGAAAAAGCGCAAATTATGCGGGAGATATTGGCACGAAGATGTCTAGGACGACTTTCGCTCTTCTTGAACAAGAAGCTTGTGGCGATCGGATCTGTGGTCCGGCGCATTGTCAATATGCAATCAGACACGCCACGAACCAGTCAATGGAGCGTGTTGCCTCTTACCTAGATAGCACTTTTATGCAGAAGAGGCAACATTGAAGTGAGGCAAAATTCATTGTTGGAGAGTGTATGAAAGACTCAAATTGTGGCCAAGCTCGATATGGGCTGATATGACACACCGCTGACACAAGCCCTAACCAAGAGCAAATCCAACATTACATCACGATGGACATAGAATGAAAAAGGGATGGGCAAACCAGAAACAACTGAGGCAAATATATACCTAATAATACCAAGCATGGTAATCTCTCATAGAAGCTCTCTTCTCATACGTCCAGTGAACTGTACGTCTTCGCTGATATCAACAGCCCTCAATAAGATCACAACACACCATATCATTTTTGCTTGACAGCTTCTAGGAGGAAAAGAAACGAAAAATGTCAATCCCCCTCTCAAGCCTCCAAAATATCCCCCTCTCATACGCTTCCTGCTCAATCGGGTGCAGCCCAAATGACACCCTCCCGCGCCGCCTACAAGCAATCAGCGAAGCGGGCTTCAGCGGAATTGAACTCTCCTACCCAGACATATTAGAGTATGGCGCACAAATCACCGGTAATCCAATCGCGCCGGACAATTACGCGGCGATTATGCCCGTAGCCGAGGAAATCCGCAAACTATGCGAAAAACACGGGTTGAAAATCATGATGCTGCAGCCATTCTCAAACTTCGAAGGCTGGGTCAAGGGCTCTGTGGATCGCGAGGAGGCATTTGCCAGAGCAACAGGCTGGATGGAGGTTATGAACGTCGTGGGTACGGATTTGTTGCAGGTATGGCAGCAATATATATATTGAGCACCACAAAAGTCAGGAGAGCAAGAAACTAATACCATATCCAGGTCGGAGCAACAGACACACCGGAACCCTTGATCAAGAAAGAACGCGACGTCATCATCTCCGACTTGCGCCTTTTATCTGAGATCCTCGCAAAACGCAACTACCGCCTCGCCTACGAGAACTGGTGCTGGTCGACCCACGCCCCCGGGTGGAAACAAATCTGGGAGATCGTCAAAGCTGTAGATCGCCCGAATTGTGGGTTGTGTTTGGACACTTTCCAGACTGCGGGCAGTGAATGGGGCGATCCGACTACCGAGTCTGGTCTAATTGAATCAGTCTCGCAGTCCGAGCTACGGAAGCAGTTTGAGGCGAGCATGGATGAGCTTGCGAGCACAGTGCCCGGTGATAAGATCTATCTGCTTCAGATCTCCGATGCGTATAAGGTGTCGCCGCCGTTGGAGGACAAGACTATTGGTGGGCTAAGGGCGAGGGGTCGCTGGAGTCATGACTATAGGCCTATGCCGTATGACGGCGGGTATTTGCCTATTGAGGATGTTGCGAGGGCGGTGCTCAAAACGGGGTTCCGGGGTTGGTTCTCGATGGAGATCTTTGATAGGGGCCCTCAGGGGACTGGGAAAAAGTATGATATGGGGTCTTTTGCAGCGAAGGCTATGGATAGTATGCAGAAGTTTTTGAAGAATTGTGCGACGGATTGAGGGGAACAAATTGCCTACGAAATGTTCATAATGATATATGGTTTTTATAAGTTATAGTTGGTACATTTGGCATATTGTCTGTTTAGACTTCAAATAAATACACATTTTGAGGATTTTGGAAATTCGTAGACACAATATAAGAAAACGCCGGGGTGGGATGCAAGATTGACGCCAATGAGATCATAAAGCACGCAATATCAACTTGGAGGTCATGGATAGAGGACAATTATCCATTAGTTGGCGTTGCTGGGGTACGCAACGGTGTAAGTGGGAACGTACTCCTCCTTAATGGAGCGCAAGCTGACGAAACGGGACATCAGGTTGGCGCTTCCGGCCTTGTCGTTGGTACCGCTGGCACGGGCACCACCGAAGGGCTGCTGGCCAACAACGGCACCGGTGCTCTTGCAGTTGATGTAGAAGTTGCCAGCGGCATTGCGGAGAGCCTCATCGGCGACCTGGACAGCCGCACGGTCCTGGGCGAAGATAGAGCCGGTCAGAGCGTAGGTGCTGGTGCTATCAATCTTGTCACAAATCTTGGTGAAGTCGGCGTCGGTGGCGTCGTTGTAGGAGTGAATGACCAGAACGGGACCGAAAAGCTCGCGCGAAAGCAAAGGGTGGTCCGGGTTGGAAGTGCGGTAAACCGTAGGCTGGATGTACCATCCAGCAGAAGAGTCGTAGGTTCCACCGACGAGCAGCTCAAGCTCGGGGTCGTTCTTGGCCTCCTCGATGACACCGGACAGCTTGTTGAACGAGGCCTCGTGGATGACGGGACCGCAGAAGTTGGTGAACTCAGATGGCTCGCCAACGTTAATCTTCTGCACCTCAGCGACGACCTGCTGGGCGAAGTCCTCGGCGATCGAAGAGGCAATGTAGGCACGGGAGGTGGCGCTGCACTTCTGGCCCTGGAACTCGAAAGCACCGCGCACGGTCTGGACCGCGGCGTTGCGGACATCTGCGGACTTGTGCACCAAGTGGAAGTTCTTGCCACCGGTCTCACCCACAATGCGAGGGTAGCTGCGGTATTTACCATCCGCCACGCCCTGTGAGATCTTACCGTACAGCATACGGAAGACATCGGTGCTTCCGGTGAAGTGAAGAGCAGCGAAGTCGCGGCTTTCAAGGACGGTATTGGTCACCTCCACGGCGTCACCAGGAACGAACTGGATGACGTCCTTAGGAAGACCGGCCTCAAGCAGGATCTGGTGCACGAGCCAGTTGGAGGCAATCGCGGAAGGCGAGGGCTTCCAGATCACGACGTTACCCATCAAAGCGGGGGCACCAGCCAAGTTACCGCCGATGGCTGTGAAGTTGAAGGGGCTGATCGCGTACACGAAACCCTCAAGAGGGCGGTATTCAAGACGGTTCCACACACCGGTAGCGTTGTGAGCAGGCTGCTGCGCGTAAAGCTCTTCGGCATACTTCACACCGAATCGGAAGAAGTCACAGAGCTCAGCGGCGGAATCAATCTCGGCTTGCCATGCGTTCTTGCCCTGTCCGTGCATAGTCAAGGCCATAATATCGTAGCGGTACTTGGTCGCAATAAGATCAGCGGCCTTGAGGAAAATGCTAGCACGCTCAGCGAAAGGAGTATCGGCCCATGACTTGCGAGCGGCGAGAGCCGAATCAATGGCGGACTGGACATCGGCCTTCGACGCGTTGGAGTAAGTTGCCACAGGAGCATGCGTTGCGGGGTTAGACTGGGTGAAGGTTTCATATCCCTTGAGCTGTGTGATTGAATGTTAGAAATTGTACCTTCAGCACAGGTAAACATTTCTTGCTAATTCTTACCTCCTTGCCAGCAACTACCAGAGGCACGTTCAAAGGGGCCTTCTGCTTGTAGTTTGCCAGAGCCTCCTCAAGACCCTTGCGGTCTGGAGTGCCGGGAATATAGTGTTTCTTAAGGTTCAAAATTAGCCCAAATGATCAAACAATCTCAATTCCAACATCGAACTCACGTTAGGTTCATTGTTAATTTGGGGGATCTTGAAAGTGGCGTAAGTGCCCATGGAGCGTGTGCTGGAGCTTGGAATGCGGCATGCGAGGCGCGAAATGGGCGCGCGGGTGCGCAGAATGGAAGACATCATTATGATAGTTTAAAATGAAGACAATGAATCAACTTCTTCCAAGCACTAATGAAGAGAGAAGATTTGGAGAAGAAGAAGACGCGGGGAAGAATGATGAAAAAGGGCCGGCTAATACCGGTCAGAAGCTCATAGCTGCACAGTGCACTGTAGGGTGGGCCTCCAAGGCTGGGGGACTGGCGGTAGGAGACGGCCAATCAGAAGTGGCCGGTTGTTGTCCCGGGTGGATCCCACCGGGCCGGCGTCTATCAGCGCGGCTTTGTCAAGAGAATATCAATTTGTTCACCGGGCCTTGAGCTTGTCCACGGGTCCTTTATAAATTCAAGTTCTCATTAGTCAAGAGATAATAAACAAATTGACATTCCCCGCAAATCTAGATAAGCTTGATAGCGGCGATTAAGTTGCTTTAGAGGAAAGATAGAGAATCAAACCCACATGCACTGATCGGCGCTAAATGTATACTTCATGGGTATAATGTAAAAAAGATCACGGAAAGCAAGATCTATAATTCCCTTGATTGGTATATTGTAATATTTATATATCTACCACGTGGTATTATATGTACGGTAAAAGAAGAGCGTTCTAAAAACAACAGCAGACCAAAGACATTCTATGCAATCCACCACCACACTCGCTCTAGCCAGTTGCGTGGCTGCGGTTCGACCTCCTCTTCTTCAAGTCGGTCGATCTCCTCCTTGCCGCTGAAAATGTCAAGCTCTGACACCTTGACTATCCATGGCGTCTTGTAATAGAACTTATGGCCGAAGTACAGCACGAAGAAGATCACGAAGACAATGTAGGAAACAAGGAAGTCCGACGCAGTAAACGAGCCTGGGAAGAATATCGTATAGCCATTGGTAATAGCCAGTAGTGACACAAAGACCATCACGTAGTAAGCGCCGTACGGTTGGAAGGGAGTAATGAAGGGCCGCGACTTGAGCAGCCCGTGGAAATCCAAAGCGCTGCGGAAACGCTAAAGAGAGATAGTTAGCCAGATTATCTATGAAAGGGAAGGGGGGAGGCAATTCAACGTACCAAGTATGCCACTGCCACGATGACCCAAGCAAGGAAACCTCCGATTGTAGTAATGTTGGTAAACCAATAAAACACGGTTGAACCTGAGGTAGACAGATTCAAGAAGGAGAGTAGACCAATTGCCCAAGTGACGATGACAGCATTGTACGGGACGCCGTTTTTGTTGCAGCGAAGGAAAAATGCGGGAGCCTGGCCCTCGCCTGCGAGCGAGTAAAGTGTGCGAGACCCAGCAAAGAGCCAGGAATTCCCCGACGAAAAGGCAGAGATAAGAATGGCAGCATTGATAACGTGGTTCAATCCAGTGATACCAGCATTTTGGATGCCGACAACGAATGGACTGGCACCAGCACCAGAACCACCGCTCGCAACACCCTGCAGGAGGTTCTTGTCGTTGTATGCAACTGTCACACCAATGACCAAGCTGCCCAAGATGTAAAATGCGAACAAACGGTAGATAAACCGCTTCGACGCCTTGGGAATGTTGCGGCGTGGCGACTCAGCCTCACCGGCAGCAGCAGTGATAAGCTCTGGGGAGAAAATGAAGGAGAATCCGCACTTGATCATAGCGGTCCAGAATGCCAGAAAGCGGCCTGTGTTGATGCTCGGGACCAAGTAGGGTTCCACGAATGCGCCTGGCCGTTGCCAATACCGGAAGCCGAGACGATCATGGTTAGGACCACCGCCAAAGAAAAGGATGACACCCAGGATGATTAGACCGAGGATCGCCAGGATCTTGAGTGATGCGAACCAAAATTCGGCTTCACCATACCAAGAGACCGCGACAATGTTTAGAAGGAGAATGACTAGAGAGATTGCGTTAGAGGATATCATAAGTAATGGACTGTTGGCACACTATGTACTCACCAACGAGAATGATTGCGATCCATACACCCACGCTGACCGGTGACTGCCAATACTCAATGACAAGGCCGGATGCAGTGACTTCTGTTGCTAGCAACACTGAAAATGAATACCTAGATCGTGAGATTTATTAATTTGACAGACTCAGACCTTGACAGAAGGGGTAATTACCAGTAATTGTATCCTGGTGGCATTTGAATTAGCATTGGGGTTGTTGAATCTTTCAAGGTGAGTTCGACATACCAATGGCAAATCCAAGACTGGGCTCCGTAAACCGAGTAATCAAATATGGCACCGAAACACCCTGGACGGGGAGATAGGTGGTCATTTCACCAAGCATGTTCATGACAAAGTACACAATGCTTGACATGACAATATAGCCCATGAGCAAAGGAGCTATCACGTATTAGCCCCATATCAAGTTCATTTTTGGACGCTGCTTCTTACCAGGACCAACCGTCGACAGCGATTGGCCACTGCCAACAAAAAGACCAGTGCCGATACAACCACCCAGAGCCAAGAATTGAACATGGCGCGAGCTCAAACCTCGTTGGGTCTTTGAGTTGTGAACGCCTGTGATCTCTCCCTGTATGGCTTTTGGGTCATCATATGGGAACTCGGGATTGTCCCCCGCCTCGAGACTCTTAGGCGAATCTTTCATGATGCGCGAAGGCAGAGAAATAGGAAGATTGGCCAATCTACAACACGACTCAGGAGAGAGAAGAAGAACAGCAACACAGCAAAGAATGGTAGTTGGCAGCAGCAATACGACAGAGAATGCTGGGTAGCAACAGCAATACGGCGGAGAATGCTAGGTAATAACTTAGAATATCCTAGGAAAGGCATTTCTTTTTATACGACGAATCTACTCAGTACCTAGGTACTTGTCGCAATAGCCCTGGAAATGAGATAAACCTAAACGCCATGATAGTGTGCTTCCAATGGGGGAAAATACCCTCTAGAAAGATACTAAAAAAGCCGAGGGAAAATGGGTTTCCTCCGCCAATCAGTGATTCGGAGCCCATGTATCCATCAACCACTGTGAAATCGTACGCCCAACATCCAAAAGAGACCTAGAAAACCGCGCCGCTGTGGAGGCAGCGATTGAGTTTCTAGAGATAATTGGCGCCCACATTGCCTTTTAGTTCTAGCTCGGTCTCGCTGACGCCTGCCTTGCCGTGTTTATATCTTTGCAGGATTCTCATGTCAGATTGTTCTTATCTTACCCTTGACACATTTCGTCTCGATAAATATTGTTCCAGGCTTATAGCGGTGTTCTATTGCTTAGCCCAAACCTTCTGGTAGCCAGGTGGTCTGTGATTGGTGCGCGGGCCAAATTGACTTTAAGCATTTTCCGCCCCTTTGCCACTCGGATCACGTGGTACGTGTATGGGGAAGAATCTGGGGTAAAATAGGCGGACCCGTCCTGCCCAGGTGACTCTAAATAATATCGGACATAAACCTTGCAATGCATCCATGGGATTGAAGCAGCATACTAGACTATTGTGGGAAGAACTAAACTGAAAGTAACCGGAAGCAAGTCACGCGTGCAGAGACCGGGCCGGTCACATTGTGCTTATCGCTTATCAGTGGCCCCCGCCAATATCAAACCGGCCCGTGAACCGTTCGGCATGTTAAATATGCGAAAATGCTGTTGGCTGCAGATTACAAGGGCAAAGGGGCAAATATCAAAGCGTCACTCTCGCTCGGACACAACGATCTCCCTACCCTTGACCCGATCGTACCCTAATAGTTCTTCTGGCGTTATAATTGTATATGATCTTAGATTCTGGTATAGTTCATAGAAAGCATGAATAATAGCAATGCCAATCCTTGGATCGTAGCACATAAAAACTGCCAGGCCCTCCCGGCCCGTTAAGATGGGCCTGCTGACCGTACCGGTGCCTGGCGGTTGCCACCGGCTCTTTTACCTCTTACCCAATGAGTTCCACCAACATAACCGCCATATCTAAAAGGTCGCCTTTCAACCGTGGCACTTCTATTTCTTCAACCATTTATTCTTAAGTCTTTTACCTCGACTCACTTCGGAGCTACCTCCTTGCCTTCCTTTCTCTAGTAACCATCTCACACTACTACGTCTTAACTGCCAGCTATGAAAGCTGCACCTTCCGTGCGTGTGCCCCTCAAGGCCGCCGCCCACACCACCAGACTGGTGAGCGGCACTAGCAACTCTCGATCTTCAGTCGCCTCAGTTTCAGCCACCAACGCATGGCAACCACAAACAAAAGCCCCGCCTCCGCTACCACGCAAGGCACTGACAGCACCCCTGGCTAAGCTGCCAATATCATCTGTTCTACGGTCGTTGCTGGTTTTATCTGTTTCCTCGTCACCTCTACTCCTCAAGCCATGCATCTATACCCTGTCTTTGTTGGCTCACCCACGCAACGCCTTCTGGGATGTCTCCAAAAACCCATTGCTCAACATGCTTGTCAAGCACACCATCTATAAACAATTTAACGCTGGCGAGAACAAAGTCGAAGTGCAAAACTCGATCAACCAAATCAAAGCGCTCGGATGCCGTGGTGTACTCCTGGGATATGCCCGTGAGGTCCTCGTTGGCGAGAACTCGGATGCCTTGCACGACGAGAAGGCTGCTCTGGCCGAGATTCAGATGTGGATGGATGGCACACTCCAGACAGTTGACATGGCTCAACCCGGTGACTTTGTCGCTTTGAAATTCACTGGAATGGGCACCGACGCCCTTCGCCTGTTGCAGTCGAAGACTATGCCCACAGAGATCATGGACACCTCTATCCTAAAGGTGTGCGATCTCGCCATCTCCCGTGGCGTCCGCCTGCTGGTCGACGCCGAAGAGCAGGCCGTGCAGCCTGGCATTGAGGCTTGGATCATGAAGTATCAGAAATACTGCAACTCCCAGACCCCCGGCCGAGCCATCTTCTATGGCACTTACCAAGCCTACCTGCGCTCTACTCCTGCGACTCTGGCCGGTCACCTTGAAACTGCTCGTGCTGAGGGATACACACTTGGCGTCAAGCTCGTCCGCGGCGCCTACATGAAGACTGAGCCCCGCCACATCGTCTGGGCTGAGAAGGAGGAGACTGACGAGTGCTATGATCAAGTCGTCGAGTCCCTCCTCACTCGCAAGTACAACTCCATGCTCAAGGCTCCCTCAAAGGACACCCCGACTGAACTCCCGCCCGTGAATGTCATCATTGCTACTCACAACCGTGAGTCTGTTCGCAAGGCTCATGCTCTGCGCATGGAACAGGCTACCCGCAACGAGGACTACGGTGTTGATCTTAGCTATGCTCAGCTCCAGGGTATGGCCGACGAGGTTAGCTGTGAATTGCTCCAAGGATTCGAGAGTGCCGAGAACAGTGTCGGGGCTACCCCCATCGATGCCCCCAACGTCTTCAAGCTGTTGACCTGGGGCTCGGTTCAGGAATGCATGGGCTTCCTGCTCCGTCGCGCTGTGGAGAACACCGAGGCCGTTGGCCGTACTAAGGACTCTCAGATCGCAATGATCGCCGAGTTTAAGCGTCGCATTGGCAATGCTTTCAGCAGCAGCAAGTGATATTCGAGTCTTTCCTGATTTTCCGTTTCGACCTTTCGGAGGCTACCTAGATCATTTTGTCTTTACTTAGCAGCCCACGGGCTGTTTCACTCCATTTTTGTTTTTGTTGCATTTTTATTTGCGTATAGCTGGGTGCATTATTCATGGCGTTGCTACTGCTTTATGAAAACCTTAGAAGTCCATTCTGATGATGATCAATGAAATCAATGTTTGAAAATGAAGTGACTGTATTCTTGGATTATTTTTTTAGTCAAGATAGGAATCAAATCAAGAAATAAAACCAAAGAAATGATCTAAATAGTATCCGGCATGATTGCGGTCGAATCATTTGGGACGTAGTCCCCACCGGGTTGACTTGCCCCTCAGTATGTGTCGGAGGGTCTACCCGATGGCCTACCCCATATTCTATTCATCACCTCGAAAAGTATCTCGTGTACTTCTTTTAAATAAAAGAAAATTGAGAAACCTGGTTCTTCGAGCATTTCACAAAACCACAATCAAAACACTCTACCAAAATGCACATCCTCTCCGAGCCAAACGTTTCCAAAATCTTCCGCGGTCTAACACAAGACCAATGCCACAGCTTCATCTCAGCACTCGGCAACGCCCTAATCAGCATAACCAGAGAATCAAATCCCTCAACCCCAGCATCCGCCAAAAAATCCACCAACCCCTCCGCACAGTCTTCAGCACAAGCAATGACAACACCTGCATCTTCATGCCGGTATCGGACACCGCATCCACCGGCATAAAAGTGGTAACAGCCAGTCCCACCGGAATCCAAGGCGTAATCAACATCTTCAACCCAGAAGGCCGACTGCAGGGTCTCCTCGCCGCAGCAGAAGTAACAGCCTTCCGCACCGCGCTAGCAACAATGACCCTCCTCGTGCGCTGCACGACCCTCCGCAAGGACAACGTGCTTGTTCTCGGCAGCGGTCGGCAGGCGGAGTGGCATGCGCGTCTTGCGCTGTTGCTGTACCCGGAACAGGTCCGGCGCGTGACCTTTGTGAATCGCGGTGCGAAGAGGCTGGTGGAGATGGAGAGGGATGTTATTTCCGAGTTGCGTGGGACTTACCCCGGTGTTGGATTTGAGACGCTTGCTAAAGAGGGTGTCGTCAATTATGAGCAGCGCCTAGGAGAGGAACTTGCGGCTGCGGATGTTATCTTTAGTTGTACGCCTGCTACAGTGCCGAATTTTGGGTATAAGGCGCTACAGACGAACCCCAAGCAGCGGTTTATCTCGCTTATTGGCTCGTACAAGCCGGATATGCATGAGATTGATACTGAAACGCTGCTTTCTGGCGGTGGGAAGGTTTATGTTGATTCTAAGACGGCTTGTCTTGAGGAGGCTGGGGAGTTGATTACTGCGGGTCTTGGGGAGGAACAGTTGATTGAGATGGGGGATCTTTTGGGGGCGGAGGGGATTGTGGAGGGGGCGGTCAATGTTCCTGCTGGTTGTAATGTTGTCTATAAATGTGTTGGTATGGGGCTGATGGATCTTGTTGTTGGAAAGAAGGTGCTTGATGTTGGGGTTGAGATGGGGCTTGGGACTCATGTTGATGGGTTCTAAATCTTTTTGGTATTTCTACATTAGAACAAGAGACGCTATCGTTGATCAGAATTGTGAATGAAAATAATTGACCTAATATTGCGTCCACTCCTGGGCCTTCTTGCATGCTGCAATAACAAGTCACCAAGCTACTGGCGTGGCTTTTGTCGGTCTCGATACTTGAGTGATTCAAAGCCATAGTGCAAGTCATCCTTCATGCGATCATTCTGGAAATTAAATCAACGCCCATTTCCATGCAGGCATCGGAAAGCCGTTTGTTATCCTCATCGATCGCAGGACAGAGAAAGTCAACCCCACTAGAACCGTCTCGAATTCTCTGGATTTCAATATTGACAAGGTGGGGAAACATATGCTTGGACATCACCAAGTTCACCAGCTGGTTGATCATGTTACCATCGGAGGCTACGACCCACCATTGAGTCACACAGAGCCGCTCGAGAGATGGCGGTAGATATCTAGCCAACGGCATAAAGTTACAGGCTGAGACACGGTCGACTGTGTTGTCGTCCAATGCGAGATTCTCCATATCGTCAAGTCCTAAGAAGGTGTGCATCGGGAGCTGCAAATTCTTCAGTACACGAAACTCTTTGAAAGTTCTAATAGACGCATTGCTGCTCATGTCGAAGTCACGCGCCTGCGAGTAGCTGAGACAAAGGGTTTCGAGCGAGTGTGTCTTGGAGGAAATTGTATCCAGGAGTGACTTGATACAGAAATGGGGAGCTAAACTGTATCCACACATGTCGTCAGGGTAGAAGTACTTGAAGGACTTCAAGTTTGCGCAAGGGGCAATCAACTCGCGGAACCCAGAGTCCGAGCGACCCTCGTGCAGCTCGATATGTGTGATAGGCGATGAGTTCGGTCGTACCAGGCGTGAACAAGCTCCAATCACCCCATGTACCTTGATCTTGCGCATCGATGAAGTTTGGAAAAAGGGCACGAGCTGAGCGATATTCGATCTGGGTGTACGCCTCGAGATTCTGGGTCCCGTGTGCAATGGCACTTTGAAAAAGACCTCTCGCAGGGACTGAAATGCCCGCGTCGTCGTCAGATTCAAAAACTTCAGATGTAGGGAGGCTCCGTATAGCAAAGACTCGATGGAACTGGAGCCCGGCTCATCACCGAGCCATTCGAGGTAAGTGATATTCGGTAATAGGAAGACCAGGAGAGCCTGCCAAACGCCGGGCTCGTCGACAGTTCGGAGATCCCTCATCCACCATTGTTGTAGTCCATGGGTTGATGATTGACCAAATTTTTCGATCCAGTGCTTCAAGATGTCATCGAAGCTTCTTGTTGTGACTGGAGCTGTAGGGTGTTTATTGCATGTCCACATTCTGCCCAGCTTCAGGCTTTTGACTTTCCCAGCTATGTAGCCATTGTGAAGAAGAAAGTCAACGAGCTTTTCCACTCTCTGAGCACAGCAGCAAGGGTCAAGTTCCATATGACTATATGCCTCGAGATAAAGCTCTGTGTACATGCGTACATTGCATCTGGCGAGGTTCAGCCGATCTCGCTGCGTTGGTAGATGACCCATAATTCTAAGCAGCACCTCAGTCGGGAGGATAGCCAGCGAGGACATCTTGAATTATGATGACGAGAGGAAGACGAAAATGAAGAAAGATGAAGTAAGTTAAAGAAAGAAGTTGATGGAGCTGGTCGAAGGAGTAAGCCAAACAAGCAAACTGAGCAGATAATGAAATAAGAGGAGAAACTTGAAATGAAATTAAAAGAGAGATCAAGCAAACAATGAGAACTTAGTTATGTAGTGGATACTAGTAGAGTACCTAAAGAAAGAAATGAAAGTGAAGCGAAATTGACACGATTATTTCGCTCGGCCAACTGGTACCTACAAGCCATACCATCACTTCTCTATAGTAAAAATGGAGGGTCTACCAGACGATTCTGGCTCTAACGCCCCTTCAATTGGGGCCTCTCAGATTAGGGAGTTTCCTGGGTCTGAGGCAGAACAAGCTCTAACGCATGATGCATCAACACGTGAGTTCACCTGTGATTTTATAGGTCATCCGGATACTAACTTGCTGGTTCTATAGTCACCACCAGGATGAGGCTCATCAATATGGATAAGAGGTGGTTATTGACCGATGTGCCTAAGGGTTTCGATGAGGACAGCCAACTTGATTGTGAGAATTTGGAAACTCAACAGACCAAGAAAATGTGGTATAGAATAAAGCTACTCGGCGGTGCTCCCGATTGGCCGGTCGTCGATGGTCTCATGGAGGTTTATCCTCTGAGCAGTGAGAATCACAAAGGATGGTCATGATATCAGCAAGACCGATGCCACGAACTCAGCCAACGGCAAAGTGCATGTCGTACCAGCCACGTTCTTCTGGAAACACAAGATTCCCATCCATTACGACGCAGCGAAAGCCATCCCATACGAGATCACCCTAGATCCCAAGCCAAACCAAGCTTATCCCAAACCTGCTTGACGAATTTTCTCTCCCAACAAAGCCAATCAGCCAGTGGCTAGTCGAAGTTCAAGCACTACGCCGCCGCCCAAGCCGATCTCTAAGACAAAGCCGACCACAAACCCTGACGTTCTGCAGATGTGCCTCTTACCAAATATCACCCATCTCGAATGGTTCAGTGATGACCCAGGTACTATTTTCATCGATGCTTTACTACACGAAGCCTCCCTACATCTGGCATCTTTCAATTTGACGCCGACGCCTGCATTCCAGTCCCTGCGAGAGCTCTTTTTCAAAGTGCCATCCTAGAGATTAAGCGATGCAAACCCTCTGGTGATGTGCTTGTCGGGAAGATATCGATTCAGATGAAGAGACTAAGAAAGTTTGAGAGCAGGGCAGATAAGCAGCTCGAGCAGCCCTGGTGAGAATGAGGTAAAAGGAGAAGTAGGGTGGAGGAGAGAGCACATGTGTAATACTGAAAGTGAAGTACATCCAACAGCACTACGGAGTTACATATACATTTAGGGTCAACCCCTACGGGAATATGGTATAGTAGTTATATGCCCATTGTACTTATGAAACCGGCATTAGATATATACGTTGGGTTAAACGAGGGCGTGGGGGGACTAGAACCGGGTTAGTCTGCTGGTGATTCTTAAAACTGGAGGTAATAGATTAACATTGAATTTATATAACTACCTAAGCCATAGATATGAAACAAGTAAAAAAAAAAAAATTATAAAAATTGTGAAAGTCATAAAATAGCCCAAAATAGGTCCAAATATCGACCCCAAACGCCATCGATGAGCGGAGGCAAAATGAGTCCGGGATGATGCGGGGATGTTCCTTTATCGATTAGCCCTTTTTCTCCTCACATGGCCATTTTCCATCCTTGGACTTTCCCCGTCTGACTGTAACTTTGACATTTCTCTCGAGCTATCTCTTTCCACTCTCTTAATTCTCTTCATCTTTTCTCCTTTCTCTAGACAATGCCCTGATCCGCTGTCACGGTAATGGACGACTCGACCCCGACGCCCGCCCAGCAAAAACGTCCTCGCGTGGCCGAAGAAAACCGCAAGCGAGCTGTCCGAGCGTATGCTATCGCCCTAATCAATTAAATCGGATCCTCTAACACAATCGGTTTTGCGCAGGTGCGATGGTTGTCGCCGGGTGAAAGAGAAATGCGAAGGAGGTGTGCCGTGTCGCAGATGTCTGCGATACCGCCGCCAATGCAACTTTACTCACATTGACCCCAATGAAAAGACCCGGTCAACGTCCGTCTCGTATGTTGAGCGCATAACCATATTTTATCATTATCTAGACCGCTAATGGCGCAACACCTGATATCAGACTTTTGGACCGAGCAGCCGCCCAGAGTCGAAATGACATCGCGGAGGCAGAACGGGTGCGCCTGATGGAACGCCTCCTGTCGCATTATGTGCCCAATATCACTTTCGATATTCAGTCTCTGCGCCAGGCTGCGGAGGATCTGAAGAGCAAACACCGCGATTCCGAGTCCGATGCGATTTCTACCCGAGAAGACCCCAATGAGCTGGAGGATCTCGCCATTGATGAGGAGGATTTTACAATCAAAGCTATGACCGATAACACAACCCGTATGTTGACCTCTGGAGACCGTATATGGGGATTTCTTAATTGACACTATTTCTCAGAATATTCCGGGGAATTTTCATACTTAAATTTCACAATGAAGATCCGGAAGAAGATCGATGAATGGATGAAGACTGCAGCACCCGAGGTAGGTTTCCGTGAATTGTCGGTGAGCGAAGCCACTCATGCTAAACCTGACCCCGCAGGCAACCTCCGAAGTTGAGCCCTTTGAAGAACGATGGCGAAGTACACAACTCCAGTCCGCGTCACCTCAGGTGTCTGCCTCAATTACATGTCTGCCGCCGCGCTATGTCGCCGATTTTCTTGTCCAGATCTTTTTCAAGTACGCACAGACCAATAATTTCTACATTGAGGAAGACTGGTTAGTTGAGAAATTGGGCATCTGCTACACTGACCCTGAAAGTTTGTCATTTGATGATGCAGGCGCGGTGTGCTGTATTCTTATGGTTCTGGCTGTGGGCACTCAATTCGCACATATGGAGTCATCCACACCCGTGAATTGCTTGCCCACAGGCTCTACGGCAAATCAAGACCACCACTTTTCGGAGGACGAGGTCGGACTCACATTCTACCAATTTGCCTCGAGGCTTTTACCAGACATTATCGCCACCGCTTCGGTTCGAAGTGTGCAGGCCTGTCTACTTATTGGGACATACTTGCTTCCGCTGGATACTTCAGGGTTATGCTACACATATTTTGGCCTAGCACTGAAATTGGCTATTCAAAATGGAATGCATCGGAGGTATCACGGCGAAGGCCTGTCTCCGCGCATGATTGAAGTGCGGAATCGGGTTTTCTGGACAGCTTTTACTATCGAAAAGCGTGTAAGCATTCTCCATGGCAGGCCATCATCGTTGTCGGACCGCGACGTTGATGCTCCCCTGCCAGTCGATTTCCCCGGATTGATGCCCGTCAATCAACCCTCGAACCATACAAATATGGTAACACTCATAACATTGACTTTGAAGCTTGGGGAGGTTTCAACTGAAATTACCTCGTTGCGAAAATACCGCAAAGAGCAACAGCAGGACTGTCTTGAACGATTACTCAATTTCCGGAAACATCTGGTTGATTGGTGGTCGACTCTACCAGAAGAGATTACCTGTCGTGATCTGAATCCCGCAGGGCCGCTTTTCAGGTCTAATGTCCATCTCAAGCTAGACTACTGTCTGACTCGAGTCTTTATTGGACGCCCTTTCCTTTTTAGTAGTATTAAAGGCATCTACCAGACCCCCTCTCAAGGCCCGCCGTACAAGGGGTCTTCCAGTCTGTCCGGTCTGTCAAAGAATCGCGCGACTCTTGTTACAGATTGCGTGGAAGCTGCTCTGGAAATCATCGATCTGTGCCGCTTGCTCCGTGATGAGACCGGTCTCGCGCGAGCCTCGTTTACCGAATTTAGTTCATGCCGTGCAGCTTTACTGGTCATTTTGGCGCAGGGCCTGACCAAACGAACTGAAAGACTTGGTGCTGCCCTCGAGCAGGGAATTTCCCTGATCAAGATCATGTCTATGGGTGTTGGCTCAGCCCGTTCAGCTGTCAGTGTCATAGAGGCGCTCGAACGTGCCATTCGCCGCCTCGAGGCATGGAGCGAGACACAACCGGAGATGAGCAGCGGGGGTGCCGTCGAGTCCGCCTATGACCGGTTCAAAAACTGGGAGATGCTTTGGAAAGCAGGGCCTATCTCGCCGTCCACGCTCGCGTGGCAACAGCAGGAAACTTATGCTTCAAGTGAGCAAAATGTTCCGCAAAGCGTACCCTCCCAACCCTCTACAATGGCAGGTCCGTCTACTCTTCTTCATGGCATGTCCCTGACGCCTCCTTCTGCGGCCATGATGGGTGTGGGCGGTGGTGTTCCAACTCCTGCTGCACCTGATCAGAGCATTCCAGAAGGCGAAGAAGTCCCACTCCCCGACAATTTCTCCATTTCTCAGCAATCCCTCTCACAGATGCCACACTTTGGCTTTGATCATTTCGTTTCCAATTTCCCACAAGAGTTGGGCGAGTTCACTGCTATTCCTTGCTTCGAGCCAGATTCCCAGGGTCAATCGAATGGGTTGCCTGGTGCTGAAATGAAGGCGCCAGGTAGCAGGTCTGACCCCCCTCACTGGCTGAACTTCATGAGGGATCCATGATCGATTCTTTTTTTTTCCATCGTGCTGTGTTTCTTAAGCAGCGACTCATCTATACAACTCGTTTGGGTTGGGTCTTATGACTTTGGTTTTCGTTTTCTTGTTATACCATCTTGCGACTGTTTATGTTCATTGCTATTTATTGCGCCTGGGTGGTGGAAATTTCGGAGATTGTACACAGCTTATTTCCAATGGATCAATATTGCAATCAATCATTTACTTTGTCTAAGGCAGATGAATTTCAATCTGTATGGACACAGGGAGATCGTAATATCTGCTCGTTTGCTTGTGATGATACTTCAAACATTGATCGATAAATATACATAATGCCCATAACCCTAATCGAACGTCACCTTCTTTCCAGAGAAAGTAGCTGTCGTCTGCTCCTTGGCCTTCCGCTTTGCCTCCCAAGAGGGATGCAATGGGCCCTCATCCTTAGGCGGACCTTTAGGCTTGCCACCAGAATGCTGTCCAGAAGGAGGACCAGCAGGGCCATCTCTGTTTTGAGGCCGCCCAGACCCACCCCCGAAACCACCACGTCTGCCCCCTCTCCCTCCTCTTCCACCTCTCGCACCGTCAGTTGCACCGCGCTTCGTATCCCATCCATTATCTCTGCCACCATATTTCGCAGCCAGCTCCTCCTGCTTGACATGGTTTGCACTGACACCGAACTTCTTCTCCCACAAAGCCCGACGCGCCTGCTGACCCATGCGGTTCTTACGGACAGGCTTCGCACCGGAATCTTCCTCATCAGTAGCTTCTTCCGAGCCAGACCAGTAACCGCCGTTCATTAGAGACGGCAAGAACGTCGTGCTTTTCAGTGGTGCAGTAGAGCCCTTGGTTGCCTTCGCTTTCTTGGGTGGCGGGGAGTCTGCGGTGGAGAATGAGGGTGAGGGGGAACGGGAGATAGAGTCGGAGATATCGTCTGCGGCGGGGTCTTCCTCGTCGCCAGATTCCGAGTCAGCTTCGGAGTCTGAGCCAGGTCCAAGTCGCGAGTTGAATTGTGAGAGGTCTTCGTCTCCGGATTCGTCTGAGCCGGAGATGTCCATGTCGTTCGCGGGGCGGGAGACCTGCTCGCCGCGCCTGGGTTTTGTCGTCGCTTCCTCTGTTTCAGACTCGGATCCGCTGGTTTCCTTTCGTGGCTTCTTTGCTGGCGCATCCTTCTTGTTGTCCTCTTTTGTCGCCTTGTTACCCGGCGCCTCGTCGACTCTCAGTAGTTTCCGAATACCGGCCATAATGCCGGGCATTTCCTTCTGCACGGGGGTGGATTTGAAAAGTCGTGCAAGGATATTGGCTTCGGCCGTGGTCTTCGGTCCATCCTGGGAGACTTTCTTGACTGCCTGGAACTCCCCGAATGTCCGCGTCTCTGCAATTCGCTTCGTCCTGACCAGTTGCTTGAATAGGTATCGCTCGGATGTGACATGGTAATTGAGACCCTGTTAAAACGAATATTAGCAATCGAGTTTCTGGGCGAGGACCCACTGCAAAGCCGTGTGCATGACCTGCATGTCTAGTAACAATTATCACAATAACCACATACCTTTAAAGTCTCGATTTCTTCCTTTAGTCGCGCCAACGCCTTATCGTCCTTTTGTGCCTTTGCTGTCTTCTCTCGGCGACTGAGCTTTTGTCGCTCAAAGCCGCGCGATGTCTTGAGACCGCGCATGATCATCAATACGCCGTTCTCGAACATTTGCGTCAACCGGGTGCCGTGAATGGACATTTTGCGGGTGTCGCTGGACCGCGCGGGGCCGCTGACTTCTTCGAGCTTGCGTTTGGGCATTTTTGTCGGTGGTATGAGTGTATGGAGATGTGGAGTATTGAGATGAGCAAGTCAAAGAGTGTATGGCTCGTCGACAAAAAACCGTGGGCAGTTTCGAGGGTCGGGTTGATCGTCGGATGTTGGTGTAGCTTAATTTTTTTTTTCTTGGGCGGATCCCGGTGCCAAGACAGACGCTTGCAATGGTCATCGCAAATCAATCGGCTTGATATCTACTTCAAGGTATGTATTTCTTTGTAGATTGAGATTATGAAAAAATAGATATTTATTACCAGCCGCTGGGGCATAGCTTATGAGTGAACTCGGGCAAGTTAACTGCTACGTGCACTACATTGCTTAACATTGGTTGGACAAAAAAGGACCATCGATTAACACTGACGGATATGTACATACAGACATGGCAAAGAAAATGATACGCATACAGACCCTTTCTATTTCTTTTCTTCCTCCTTCTCTTCCGGCTTGGGGGTGGGAAGCTTGAACTATAGTTGAACAGGTTAGGACATCGTCTTTCGGCAACGAAGAGAATATGACTTACGGATTCGGGGGTGCGGTCTTGACCCGCACCCACGGGCTCCCAGGCAGTAGAGCCGCTCTCAAAGTTACGGAAGGCCTGGGTGAGCTCGAGAGGCTCAATAACGATGCGCTTCTTCTCTTCGTCGTAGCGGAGCTCAGTATAACCGGTCAAGGGGAAGTCCTTGCGCAGTGGGTGGCCGTCAAAGCCGTAATCGGTCATAATGCGGCGCAGATCAGGGTGGCCGGAGAAGAAAACACCGAACATGTCGTACACCTCACGCTCGTACCACAGAGCACCCTCGAAGAGGCCGGTCACACTGGGCACGGGGGTGGCCTCATCTGCGTAGGTCTTAACACGAATACGGGAGTTGTGGCGAACACTGAGCATGTTGTAGACGACCTCAAAGCGCTGGTCGCGGGTGGGGAAGTCGACACCCGTGATATCGGAGATCTGGGTGAACTCGGCGGCAGTGTGGTTCTTAAGGAAGCTCATCACGGGGATAACACCGGCAGGAGCGGTGTACACGGTGAGCTCATCCTTCCACACTGTGAACTGCTGGATATATTTAGGCAGACAAGACATAACGTACTGCCCATAGGCGTGAAGGCTGTCGGCCATAGGCTGGTACTTGTCGGTAGGGTTGACCACGGGGGCGCGCAGGGGTCCCGGGGCTGGAAAAACACAGTTCGGTTAGCTCAATTGTGTCCTATCTATCGGCTGGTCCATTGCACATACGCGGGCGCTGCGCCTGGCGCATGTTCTCAGGTTCCGGGCCCGGTGCCGTCGAGGCCTTGGGGGCACACTGAAGGGAGGCGGAGGAAAAGGTGCGGGCGGCCATGGACCTCGTGGCGGATGCCACAGAGCGTCCAGAGCCCAGGCGCATCAAAGAGCGTGCGGAGGCCATTGTGTAGAGGGAGCAATGGCAGATGCAACGGGAGGAGGGGACGGAGGCACGTAAGTCGGATTGTGAAGGTTTAGAGTGGTCGAGCACTTTTGGTCACGTGTTGGGCAGACGCTAAACTAAATCGGGCAATGCCAGCAAAATGAAGCCGCGCTTCAACAATTTCCTTCCTTCTTCTCCCCGTTCACCCTCTTCTATCAATCATCTCCACCTTTTTCTTTTGCCCTCTCTTCTTCTCGCTCCTCCTCAAACATCTAATCGCCGTTCATATTTCTACACTTTACAGGGCAGCGTATTTCTTTTATTTTACCAGTTTCTCATCCGATTTCATCAGGTGTCGGCGTTTGAGATCTCGTGTCCCTCCCCGGTTGTCACCGTATCCCCCGCGATCATGTCCAGTCTTTCATTGATCGACTCCGTCATCGACGACGACGACGAGTTCTGGTAGGCCTTGAACCCCATTCAACCCGCGCGATCTGTGTACTGATCAACCCCACAGCCCCCTGTGCATTGAAGAGTTCGATCTCTCCGATAAGAATTTCAAACCGTGTCCTTGCGGATATCAGGTATGTCCGATCGAAATCCTTGACGCGCTCTGCCAGTGCTCGCTTTGTTGTGGCGGGGACAGATGGCTCGTCTTTGTCTCCATGTTCCAGATCTGACATGTGATCTTTTTTAGATTTGCCAATTCTGCTACAACAATATTAAAACGCAGAATGAAGAAGGACGATGCCCTAACTGTCGGCGCGGATACGATGAAAGTACCATCCAGTACAAGATTCCTGACGTTGAGGAGTGAGTTACCCCATGATCTGTGATATATTCGCCACATCCCTACTAACCTGCTGTGTGTAGGTTCAAGGCAGATCTGGCACTGAAATCTCGCAAGGCTGCTGCTGCGAGAAAGAAGGAAGCCGAAAAGCGTGAAATCGAGGCTTCCAGTCGGAAGAACTTGGCCGGTGTCCGCGTTGTCCAAAAGAACTTGGTCTACGTTATCGGCCTCAACCCTACGATCCGGGACGAAAATCAACTCCTTCAAACGCTCCGTGGACGGGAATATTTCGGTCAATATGGCGAGATTGAGAAGATCGTGGTCAGCAAGGCTAAGCCCGGCGGCAACCCTAACCAGGGAATTGGTGTTTACGTGACTTTCTCCCGCAAAGTCGATGCTGCGATGTGCATCAACGCCGTGGACGGCTCCGGAAATGGCGATCGAGTGCTCAGGGCGCAATACGGAACTACCAAATATTGCTCATCCTTCCTTCGCAATGAGCAGTGCAATAATCGGAACTGTACCTTCTTGCACGAGACTGGGGAGGACAGCGACAGCTACAGCCGCCAGGACCTCTCGTCTATGAACACGATTTCCACTCAACGCCCAAATCTCCCACCTACCCCCTCTCACGTGAGGTCCGCTCAACCCATCGCCCATCCTATGCGCCGGCAACCGAGCAAGGATGACTCCGTCAGTAGTCGCACCGGCATCCCAGATGGCCCGGCTCTCCCGTCAACTGCCAGTTGGGCCAACAAAGATGTTGCTATTCACCGAACCAGAAGGACTAGTCTCACTGGTAGCCAAGCCTCTAATAATAGCCCACGGCCCGCAAGTGTGAATGTTGCGACCCCGGTTGAAGAACCGAAGCGAGCAGAAAAGCAATCTCCGATTTCCCAAGAATCCCCACAATCAATCTCCCAAATCGACCCCCAATCCCCCGCCTCGCAACCACGTTCTCGCGGTGGGACTCAATCTCCCAAGTTGCCATCACCATTTGACACTTTGCTCAAGGATATCAACTCTCCGGATT